GTGCTTGTAACGGTTCGTCACATTCGTCAGCAATCACGGGTTGGGTGAGAATGGGCAGAACGAGGCACACGCCGGCCCACACAAGCGAGACTTCCGTGGAAGCCTTGACAGCCTCGCTGATGAAATTCTGAAGCGCCAATGTCAATTTGCCAGCCTTGTCGAATGATAATCTTGCTGAGCTTTCCCCCTTGGCGGCTTGCTTCAATGCGTCTTCAATGGCATTGTCGAGTAGCGCCTTGTTCGTGACTTTCTGGTGCAACAGTGAATCTCCGGACCGCTCCACAGGTTCCACTGCACGTCCTAATAAGGCGAGAACGTTAGTATGTTGATATACGCGGAGAACCGATGGAAACGCTCACCTGTCACCTTGGTTTTCAATGCATCAAGGACTTTTCGCTCGTAGTCCACAACTAAGCCGAACTTCTCAGGATCTTTGGAAGATCGAAGACCGTCGTATGCTCGACCCCATAGAGTCTCGGGGATAGTTGTGATGTCCTGGCAAGGGACTCCGTCCGACTCTGCGGCCTTGATTGAGTGGCCTCCAGTCCCTCGGTTGGGACTCGATGCGTCCGTTTTCTCAAGAACGAGGTTTCTCAAGCTCTCTGTTGGCACCAGCGGTTCGCAGTTTTTGGCGCCCGGGACTGATAGGAATGACTCGCCATCTGTCACTTGAAGTTGATCGCCTGTGGACGGTGTGGTGAGGCTTTCACTCGCGGCCACGGATCCCTCAAGAAACGCAGATGTGTCATTAATTATCGAGTTGCAGGGCGAGTATTCGGATATATTGCATTGGCGATGAACGGAGACGGCGGTGGGTTCAGGTTCAAGTGGTGCTGATTTGGTTCCCGTGAACTTTTTGAAGGATTTGCGAAATCCGAATTGGCGCTTCGGTACGGTCGGTAGGCCGTCTTTATTGCGTGCGGCTGCCGAGGAATTCGCTGCTTCCTCCAGGCTCATTGACGGTGATGTTCGATAATATGATGGGAGAGTCTTTGGTAAGATGGATACCCTCTCACGAATTCGCCCACGGCTTGCCGCTGGGATCCCAAGAAACTACCCTGTGTCGGAACCGCCCATGCACGGTGGCATATGTGGTGGTATCGCCATTTCATTGGTACCTGGGAGATGGCCTAGAGCAGTTAGCATATGACTTTATGCAGAGGGGAAGACAGATCATTCGCTGAATCGAGGAATTGGCCATGGACACCTACATTTGAACCCTAGCGCAATTCTGACCCGAGGAGGTCAAGCTGGTGATGGGTACATGGCTGGTTTAACATTGGGAAGCCAAAGTGCACTAAGGCATTGGTGGATGTGAAGCAAAAGAAGGGAAAGGTTCGAAGTCAATCTTGGTGTTTCTGGTGGCAGACCAAATGCATGGTTAGCCGCCGGGTAGTGACTCAATCATGGCGAGCCGGGAGTCCATGTCGAGGATGGGAGGAAAATGGGGAAGATGGAGAAACGAGATGGAGGAACGGGCCGCAATGTGGATGGTCTATGACAAGAAGGTTCGGGTTGCGGAGCCCAGGCTCGCCAGGCCAGGACTTGTGTCGGTGTCGAGAAGGCCCACTTCAATAACCCCTTTCAACCAATGGATAGCACTTTCTGCTCGCAATCTGCACGTGCAAGCGGGCTTCCGTCCCGTAAGGCATGGTGGGGGCTCGGGTGTTTACAGCGTCTTGTTCGCCTGGGCCAATGATTTGAACGAGACAGCGCCCTCACTCTTCAGAGCTTTCAAAGTCTCTGGTCATGGAGACTGCCACGTCAAACACTCACAACACAATCCCTTCCACTTCCACTTCCACTTCCACTTGCTTGCCTTTGCCTTCCGTTTTGGATGAAACCTGAAGGTCAGCTCCTTCAACATGCGCCTCCTCCCAATTGGTCCATTGTGGTTGGGCAGCCCGATGGCCATGGAAGCCTCACTGGAGTTTGACAATGGATATCTCCGGGTTAATTGATCAAACAACACTTATGACAGTTGCCAATCCATGACGAGGCTTTCATCTTGAGGTTCCTGTCGTCCCCAGCCCAACAACGAAACAGCCACGACTCGTCCCTGCGTCGGCGATCTGTTCCTGCTTCTGGGTGTCTCTGCCTGACGCATGAGAAATTGGGAATATGCCAATCGCCGTCCATTTATGCTCAGCTTCCGAATCAACCAACCACCCCTGGCCCTGTCGTCGGCCCACTGCCCTACAGCGGCTGATCCATTAAAATCCACTTCTGGCGTCTTGGGCATGTCCACCGGCGCCATCACCGACACATTGAGCCACGTCGTCGGTGATCTTCAAAACTTCTCAGCCGACCACTCTTCCTTCATCGCATCAACCACTTTAATACCACCCGAATACGTCTCCTCACCACCAACAGGTTGCCCAAGCTGGATACCCCCCAGAAGGAAGCGCTCCGTGGTTTCCTCCGGTCCATGTCGGCAACTTCCGAAACCACGGCCACGCCAACCACCACCACCACCACCTCCGCCGCCGGCACCACCACCATCAACACAGGCACGAGCATCAACACCAGTACCAGCACCAACAACACCACCAACCATCCCGGCAGTCCACTATCACCAACCACAATGGGTTCCCCATCTTCCCTCCGGGGCCTTCCCCCCTCCTCGTCCTCAGGTCATGTCGACCCCACCCAAGCCGTCGATGGTCTCGTCCGCGCCATGCGCGACCTGACATCAGACAGCAACTACAAGCTGGTCGCCGACGTGTTCGGGCAGTTCATCATGCTCAAGGAGAAGAACGAGCGGCTGTCCATCTCCCACCGTGAAGTCCTCGACGAGTACCACCGCTACCGGTCCGAGCTGGACGACTGGAAGAAGCGGCTCGAGAAGGAAAAGGAAGGGCTCGAGGACGTGATCCAGTCAAAAGTGCAGGAGGTGCTGCAGCTACACGCTCAGCGCGCGAGTTTGCAAGGGAATTTGGAAGACAGCGCCAAGAGGGCGGCGGCGGCTGTGGAGAATGGGGAGCGTGAGCTGATGAGGTTGAAGGAGGAGAAGGAGAGGGAGTTGCAGGAGTTGAGGAAGGATAAAGAGCGGGAGCTGGCAGCGTTGAAGGAAGACAAAGAGAAGGAATTGGTTGCGCTGAAGGAGGATAAGGAGCAGGAGCTGACCAAGTTGAGGGAGGACCAGGCGTATGAGCTTTCTAAGCTCAGGGATGACATGGGGACCGAGTTGAGTGACATGAAGTCACTAAGGGGGATGCAGATCTCGGAACTCGAAGCTGCCAAGGCCGCTCTTGAGAAGTCCAAGGAGGAGCTGGAGGCATCAGCTGCTCAAGCTGCACAAGCCGCGGCTGAGGAGATTGCCGCACTATCGACCGCCAGGGGCCTTCTGGAGGAGTGGAAAGCGCAAGCCGAAGCCAAGCTTGTATTGCTACAAGAATCCAAGACCACTTTAGAAGCCGACAAAACAAAGAACGAGGCCGAGATCGTCTCTCTCAAGGAGACTGTCGCCACACTAGAGGCCCAGTTCAAGGCAGTCGACGAGGCCCTGACAACGACCAAAGCCGACTTCGAGTCCCTCAAGACCATCCAAGCTGAGAAGACATCCGAGATCGAGAGGCTTAGGGCTTCGCTCAAGGCTGCTGAGGAAGAGATTGCCTCTCTCAAACAGACGGTGGCCGAGAAGAGTGCAGAGATCGAGGCCCTGCGTACCAATCTCAACACCGAGAAGGCTCGAGCAGACACGGCCGAGGCCCGGTCTGAAGATCTCCAGAGGCGTCTTGACGAGACTGAGGATAACCTTCAGACTGCCGAGGAGAAGCTGGATATTCTGGCGTCGTATCAGACCAAGCTTCATGCTGACAGCGAGGACGTTTAGTGAGTCCCTTTTCCTTCGATTGCCCATTTCCCCTTTCCTTGCCTCTTCATGTCTTTTTTCCTCTCCTTCCTTGTGCCCTCTAGCCATCTACAGGCCCCCCCTTGTCACCTTGCTAACCTGTCCACAGCGTCGACATCCTCGACAAAATCTGGACATCCATCGTCACCCTCGTCGAATCCACCTTCCGCCCTTCCCTCCCCGAGCCCATCCTCTCCGACCCCTCCTGCTGGGCCAACCTCCGCAACTCGCCCTACCTCAAACACGCCACCCAACTCCAAATCCCTCTCCCGCAATCCAATTCGCCAGCAGCCAAGGGCATGCGCATCTCCGCCGTCCTAGCCGTGCTTTCCCGCGCTTTACACCGCCACCTCTTCCGACCCGTCTACCTCCTCGACGACGACGACGAAAACCTCGTCAAGTTCCTGCGCGTGCTAGAAGACGAGAACCCCGCGCGCGAGCTCCATCTGCGCTCAACCCTGCTAGCCACCATGCCCGAGCGCCAAATCGAGCAAGGCGCACGACGAGTCAAGACCGTAGTGCGCGAAGTCTCCTGGCTTGTCCAGCACTTGCTCTCCGCCCTAGCCTTCGAATCCTTCGTTTCGGGTCTCGAACAAGCCTGCAAGCTCGCCTGCGAGCAATGGATGCGCATCCAGCTTGCCTCTATGAAAATCGAGCCGTACTTTGGACCGCCATACGACGATTTCGACTGGCAAGTCCTTGATCTACCGGAATTCGTCAGCAGCAATAGCACCCAGCAACAGCGACCATTCTCAGTGACGTTAACAGACGGTGGCGATGGCGACGACGGCGCATCAACTATCGGTGCTGGCGCCCCGTTATCTACCCCTGCGCCTGACACCGACGGTACTTCTACCTCAAAAAGTCACAACCTTGCGCATACCCACTCCCACTCCCACCTGCACAACAACCATGATTCCGACCCCAACGCCAACTCCGACACCCCGCAAGAGGAAGAGATCGACCCCGACGATATCTTGCTAGTAGTCTGGCCATCCATGTGCTCCGTCGAAGACGGCGACATCATGAGCATTACGCAAGGGCTGGTGATCTCCAAGCAACAGGCACGGCCCGCGCTGGAAGAAGTGAGGAGGTCCAAGTCGGGGATTAATCGGGATGGAAGTCTCAATAGTAATAATGGAGCGCCAGGGATGCCGATTAGACCGGGGAGTACCACCAGGAGAGGCACCACGAGGGGGATGAGTATTGCTGCGGAGGAGAGGAGTAGAGGGGAGAGTAGGAGTCCGGTTACTAGTAGGCGGAAGAGCTTTTTTGGGATGGGCGGCGGTGGGGATAAGGGGGAGAAAGGGGAGGGAGGAAAGGGGGAGGCTGGTGGGGAGGAGTGATGGGGGGTAGAGAGGAGGGGTGGTGATAATGGTAGTGATGAGCCAGGGGTGTGACGAGGAACGGTGGTATGAGCGATGAGTTATGGCGATGAGTTATGGCGATGGGTTATGGCGATGAGTTTGGATGCGATGAGTGATGGATTCAATAATTCGAAACAGACATGGAACGAGGAATATGATGTGACGACAGATAGACATGATATTGGGATTTGGAACGGGACACGAAATACGATTTGATGAACGTTTAGCCTTCCCTTGGTTAGCCTTGAGTTAACATTGGGTTCCTCTTTCTTTGCGATGATCTTTGTCTTGTCTTGTCTCTTTGGTTGGCGGTAATAACCTAGTCAACCACTTGGAAGCATGCTATTATCAGCCGGTCGAAGGCATAAACTGAACCGGCTCGTGTTCCAGAACTCTCTTGACCTTCCTTGTCTCTCACTCGAAACTCGAAAGACGAGATTGAGCTAGCTAGCTGATAGTTGGAAGTAATCGAAGGAGCCTATCTAATGACTAAGGTAATGAAGAATGTTTTGCTTTTGATACCTCCTGCTTCTGAACCAGGTATCGCTATCGCTATCGCCGAGTCTATGGCTTTCTCACTTGCAAGTGGTCTTCCCTTGTCAACTGTACGTGGTGGCTATTATTCCAGCTACCTAGCTTCAAATGAGGCTTCACTTAAAGTTAGAGTATAACGCCAAAGTCACGCTGCGTGGTAAGTCAGTGATTGCGCGGTATAGAGCACTCGGCGAGCCGCTTGAAGCCATCCAGGCAATTTCAAGCCGCCCCTGTGAACCGCAACTTGCCCCTGAGAACCGTTCACTCTCGCACGACACTAGCCATACGGGCCGTCTGCCGTCGACACTTGAAGACCGGAATGCACCAACACACTCCAATACCAAACACACGGAAAGACACGTCGTTCCTGGCCCAAGACGACCCAAAACGTGGATGAGGCTACCTTACTTAAAGCGGCCGCTAGGACGGCACCGTGCCCTTGTGCCTTGAACACTCGATCAGAGCACTTGATCAGGACACTTACCTACTGTACTAAATCCAGTAACAAGGAACAACGGCATGGTGCTGTTGTTATCTCCGTTGCGGAGCTGCTTGATGATTTTCCCGCTTCTTCTGCCATAGTCGTGCGGGTAGCCTCGACAGTCCGACGAGTATACCGGCCGGACTCTAACACGATCAATTGAACTATACGGAAAGACGTGTGGTTCCCGACTGAAGACATGGATGAGGTTCCTTGAATCGGCCGCCAAGTGTGACCATGATCTGAAGACTTCTTACCACAAGGATTTGTGAAGGATAAGTTGCCGACACGTCCGGTGCACCATGTTCGTCGCCATCACGGGAGCGGATGCGGAGTGGAACTGACTCGAGGGCCTCTACCTCAGACTACAGTGTGCGACTTGGGTAGGCTAGCGGCGGTAGTTCTCGTTGTCATGCATAAAGGATCAATACGCGCTGACGTAAGAAGTTTATTCTCCCGCGTGTGTTCCCGTGAGATTTGGGTCCGACCCTCCTCCATCGCTTACCCGTCTAGCCCCCCGTCTCTTTGGTCAGACTCCTCACGCTTGATGGCAAATTGATTCTTGCGCTTCGGCCGACCACGCGAGAGAGTGCTGGCGGCTGTTATGACTCTGTTGTGAGCTGTTAAGCCGCCAATTTCTGGTGATCATATCGCCCATGGTATAGACCAGGACAAGAAACCGTTGTAGACCGCTCGGTAACGGGTAGTCGCAGTGGTTCATTTTCCTCACAAGTCTGGGTCAACGTAACACCTCCAGGGCTGTATTGCTGCCGTGTGACGTTCGGACTGTTGCTGCCCCTCAACGAGAATACCAGTACTATAACACCAGGCTGCTATGAGGCGAGATTGTGGGGGAGTTGCACTGGGGTTTCCTTGGGAGATGGCTGTGAAGGTGGTATTACCTTCAGTTATACGGCGATGTTACATCTGCGTAGTTCGAAAAGCTCAAAGAGCTTCAAGATAAAGCACCGGAACAAGAACCGCATAATTAACCGAGCATTGAAGCGTTCCTCTGCTGGCGCAGCCAAATACTGTACGCACTTTACCTCGCGGTATATGTATTAGTTTCAACGCCCATACATTCAACAAATAACCAAAAGTGTGATTGGCGCAGTGGTCAGCGTGTCCGCTCCCTAACTAGGGATTGACAGCCCCTTTCAGTGCCGAAAACGGCACCGACTACCCTAATGGGAGGAAAAGGCACTCATAGAAAGTCGGGGGGATCAAATCTAGGGAACAGCGGAAGGCCTGGGTTCGAATCCCAGATCGCACAATCTTTTCTTGCTCTTTTCTAATTTTGTCTTTTTTTCTTCATATTTGCTTCTTTTCAATCCTCGGATTTGAGCCTGTCGTCATTGAGGTTCCGTCTGATTCATCTAAATGATGCAAGCTTGAGGCAGAGACAAAGAGAGAAGCGTTGGAATTGATAATGAGGGTATTAGAATGGCGGGTACAAAGCAAATCATGATGTATAGATTGAGTTATGAAGAAGTTAGGCCGGAGAAGAGATACTCAGCGCTCACTCGCGAGGGACACCTATCTATCAGTTTTTAGTTTTTTAGTTTGCCACAGCACCTTGCTGCGCTCACGTCCATAGAGGAATCTTTAACACTTGTCTCTAGCAGCACTTGTCGCAGAGATATTGATCGGAGGATGAGGAACCAGGCACCGAACCAACATCTTCCTGAACGCCACAGCCCAACAGTCAATATATCACACTCCCACCATCCGACCGCCACCGCCCTCCAGACAACTGCAGACAGACCGATCAACTTGCATCAGCTGCTGAGCCACCCACACCTCTGTCGGTTATATATTGCTCTCTCTCACTCTAGACATCCTCGCCAAGCTTCCGCCGCCCCCATGATGTTCAATACTCGCTTGCCCGTCCAGATGCGGTGGAACACCATCATCGCCGTGCAGCATAGCCAGGGTAGCACTGACCCAGACCCGGTGAAGAGGCAGAGGAACCAACGAGATTGCGACACTATCGCGGGGCATATGGAAGGGTGTACTAACACCGCCCGCCTCACGGCTTCTTCCATCGGTTATACTATTCATCGTCAGGAATCTCGCTTGATGAAATTCGGGGAAGGAGATGATATCAACTGCCAAACATTTTCCACAGGTACACTCTATCAGAGTACTACTAGGCCCAATCCTCCGGTACCTGCACGACTTGCAGTAGCCGAAGGATGCCGCAAGCCCAAAGGACCAACAAGCTCAACGCTTGTTGAAGAAACGAAGGGCCAATGGGCATGGGGCAGAAGAAGTCTGGAAGTGTAAAGCAGATCATGTGTTTATGTGGCGCAGTTTGCGAACATTGGCACTTGCCAATCGAGGAGGTCCGTTGTTCGGGAAGGATTTGATGCCGTGTTGATGCGCTTTTGGGTTAAGGGACGGTTGAGTATCGACTTTCGATCAAGGCAACATCTGTTAGGAAGACAATTGGAGCGAGGAAATCGCTTGATATCGGTCAATTCTTGCGCTCGGATATTCGTTTAGAGGTTTCGAGGAGGTCCATCTTCGGGCGTCGAGGTGCTTCGCGGCACGGGTTCATCGTATCTGGCGCCGTTTCGTGTCTTTGTGTCTTTGTTCCTTTCTGCGCCGCTGCGTTTCGGTGGCTTGGGCTCCTCGGGGGCCAATGGCGAGGTCGAATTGTTTTGTCTTGGGATCTCTTTGTTATGGACTCATGAGCCGGCGTGAGCGAGATTGTTACGGGTTTGGTCGAGGGATGTCTCGAAGGTCGATGGCCAGAGGGACCGAATCTGGAAACCAAATATCAGTGGAAGCTGAAAGAGCAGGGCATCGCCGATGGAGGTTTGCAAGCCGCTTAATCGTCAAGTAACACGTCAAATACCAGAGGACCGGAGATATTCCAGAGCATTCAAGTTGAATGCCATGCCATGTCGTGATGTCAACACTCGCACTGCTCTTCCTGTCGTTTGGTCACTGTGGTGAGGGGCAGGACAAATCAAACCCCTGTCGGCCACCGCCATGGGTTCTTTTTGGACTTCCGTTTCTGGCGTTCTCTAGGCCTGTTCATTCGGGCTTCCTCCCGGCCAGACGGCTTGGCTATCGTAGAGTTGGAAGCCGAGACCCTCCTTCGTTGGTTGGCCCTGTTGGGCGGCCTGTACATAATCTTCCGCTGGGCTGATGGCTGTTTATCGCTTGTTTGATCTCGACAGCTGGGGCGGTTGGATCATCTTGAAACCCAATCTGCCGGGTCCCGAGTTTTGTATCGTTCGAGATGGTTGTGTTTATGGAGGTTCGGTACGGCGTAGTGACCCTTTGATCCAGATTCATCCGAGATTCTTTGTCGAGAGGGAAACAGGCGGTGATACTGGTGTGTAACACATCGTCGGGATCTAGGAAGCGTTGTTGAAGATCAGCAATGTTGGCTATCATCTCGGGAGAATCGTCTGCGGCAAGGAACTTGCAGGAGTGTTGTTCGACGTTGGGAATGTTGAACGACCGAAAACATTCCCGTCCCGTGCCTGACTATCAAAGATAACTCGGCCGACATGTTGTTTGGTACGGACGAAGCGGGTTGGCTGGCATGGTTCACGACAGGAACAGGAACAGCAGAGCCAGGTTCGAAGTTCAAGAATGTGGTGTGTGCTTGGAATCCTTGAATCTTCGACCGCAGAAGCTAAAAGGGTCAAATTGTTCAGAGGGTGTGGTGCACTAACAGCTACTAACAATTTTGTGCGGAGTTGGTTGCACACGGGACCGCTGTGGTTGTTGGGCATGTTCTTGGTGCGCTTGGCCTCCCGCAATTTTTACAGGGGCAGCTCACTAACAACTTTGGGGTAGGAGCACTAGCTTTGCATGATCCCTGCCCTCTGCAAGGTTGTGGTCAGATGCGGTTAGACCTGCACAGATGACGAGCGCACACATTGAGAGGGCCATGGCCGAACTGGGAAGTTGTGTAAGACGAGGTTTCCTTTGTCTGCCGGACCTCTTAAACCCAAGGATTCCCCCTCCCATCTGGATGTGGTTTGCTCGTACCTACCATTCCATCATTGCACAACACTCCATCGGTCCGTCATTCTTTGCTCTGCTTATCGTTAGCAGAGTCCCTGTCAGCTTCCATCTGACAGGCCGCTACTCGCCTCTCTTTGCGCTTGTCTTCGAGGTTGATTCCGACTTGCCACTCTCGTCGCCCAACAAAAAACTATCTTAGCAACAGGACCTCGACAGAGTCGCAACTGTTGACTCTAAAGCTCATTATACACGCCTACAAAAACGATATAAAACACAACCAAATCATCACCGTATCCCACATCCCCAACCAAACCAAAATGGGCTGCCTACGACTCTTCCGTTGCCTGCGCCGGCGCTCCTCGCAAGACGACGCCCTCCTCGCCTCCCAACAACGTTTCGGCCCACGTCCCTACCGTGACCACGATTCCAAGCATCAACACTCTCCCTCAGCCGACTCCTCCTTCTCCACCGACTTCGCCGAAAAGGTCTCCTACTCCGAGAACTCTCGCTACCGCGGCTCTTCACGCACCGGCTCGGTCGCTGTTCCCGTCATCCGCCCCAACGTCAACCCGGCTTATTCTGCTTATGCGACGCCAGAGGTCTACCGGTATGGAGGCGCCGGGCCGAGAGATGATGGAAGGTCACAGAGCGTGAGGCCAACGAGGGAGAAGAAGGGGGTTGATGTCGACAGCCCAGAGGAGAAGGAGAGGAGGAGGAAGGCGGAGGAGGAGGAGCAGGAGCGGATGGATTTCTTGCAGATGATGTGATGATCCCTCTGCTACCAGCAAGGTTTCATTTGTAAGACCATTTTCTTTGTATCACGACATTTTCATGGCGGCTTCGTTCGATGGAGTTTACGGTTTGGCCTGGGAACACAGGAACACGGGGTCATAGGGACGGACGGATGGAGCTTGGAGTTCAAGGCGTTTCAGTGCGCATCAAAAAGGGCATTTATCATGGTCGATATGGCCTAGGTTTGGCTTGTTGGTTTGGGAGGTTACTTCCGTGTTACGATTATTCTACCTGTCTGTTAAGGGCAGGGTGGCCGATCTCCGAATTTGGCAATGGAAGTTGGCGGCGAATAATTGACGACAGCTTCCTTTGTTTACACACACAATCCACAACCGCCGTCGTTTTGATGGCGGCGCTTCCTTCCACATTTCTTGGTCTATGATTGTCTCGCGTACCTTAACTTGGCCACCATTTCTGCATTCCAGATTTCTTTGTTAGTTGCATCTCGGCGGCGGCCTGGCGGCACATGGAATTTGAAACCACCGCAGAAACATCACCAAACAAACACACAGCCCCACTCCGTACTCCAGAGGGTCGATTGATTGGTTTTGCAAGGCATGCACCCGAGACAAAGCTACAACCAGTCCTTCATTACATCGCCAAATGTAACATTTTGTCCTTCACAAACAGTTTCATCATGGACAAAACCAACAACCGTTGTTTATGCCTATTCAGCTTCGATGCTTCACTGCGCCATAGCTTTCAGCAAGCCGCCAGAGGCATTGGCATCATTGGTATTGGCATCATTCTCGGTAGCGCCGATTGGAATCGGTCCATTCAATCATTGAAGGTCGACGTCATGTTCAACGAAAAGCAAAAACCGGCCATCCCCGGCCAAGCCTCAAAGCCCCAAAGCCACTGGCCCAATGTTTCGAGTTGGAGGCCGGGAGGCCACTGGCGCCGGGACTCGATGACTTGGATGACTGGCATCAAGCCAGCAACAGTTATCAAAATGGCTTGCGACAGCGATGACTTGGATGATAACTGATCAGATGCGATGAACGCCCAACGAACGATGGCGGCGTTCCTTACAGGGAAACACAGGCATCTTGAAGAAGAGACGAACGCCTATCAGGGTCTATCAGTGGAACTTTTTCAACATCTGTCGTCGAGCTCGTGGTTATTGTGGCAAAAACACGCGTGGCCTTTTGGGGCTGTACAATACAGCACGCACGGCAATTGATGGTTGATCAAGACGATCAGGGCGATCAATCAGGGTCTCAATCAGGGTGTCAATTGACGTCGACGTCAACCATTGCAGTCATCAATTTCCAGCTTGGCTTCACAGTGTTCACTAACAGCGTTCAGCATCGTTAACAACAACCATCAAAACAACAATCGTCATCTCCAACCTTCTCACGTGCCCAACCAGCACTGCCAGCTAATTTCTCAATCTCTTCCCCTTTCGTGCCCCCTTCCCGTTTCCTTCAAGTTTTCCAAGCTTGAGCCAGAAAAGACATCACCACCTTTTCAATCAAGTCTAGCGGGATGTCTAGCGGATGGTTTACCGAACGCCTAGCGAAATGTTGGGTTCTCTTCAGGCTCGGCCAGGCCTGCAGAAGCCCTGCAGTGCCCTGCGGTTTGCGGGGAAACAGTCCAAATGGGCTTGACGGGCTTGGAAGGACCCCTGGCCAAAGGTCCTGCCCTGGTTGTGATCAGCACGGACCTGGATTGGTCCATTTCATGGGGGACGGGAGGATTTCGGCATGTTGGTTGCCGCTGACATGCATCGATTTGCTGCGTTGGAAGTGTGAAGTTATTCTCGACGGGGTTTCGAGTTCGCATCGCGAAGTTGAACATCGACATTGACGATGGAGGAAAGAGTCGCCAGGTGCTGCAATGGATTCATTGCGGTCGCGATTGCGAAAAGCATCAAATTCACCAGAAAAGCTTGTCCGCCCATCAATCCGCCTTGCTCCTAGTGCCGGAGCTACCAGGTTAACTCCAGGCTCCCCAGCCTTCCGGCCCGACTCCGACCCCGAACACAGACCCCGGGCCCCCGGCGCATTTCAATATTCTCCACCGGCGTTCGCGGCCCGGCGTCTTGACATCAACCAACCGCTAAATCCAAAGCCAGGAAAGCGCCCACCAACCGCTAAAGGTCCAGAACGTTTTCCATGCTGCCATTCCTCGAGGGGGAAGGTGTGATGAAAAACTCCGGATATGAAAGACTGAAAGTGGATGTTTTGCGACCTCTGCCTGGCACTGCCTACCCAACAGTCAATGGTGAATTTTTCGGTAGTTGGGTTGAACACCACGCACCGCGGTGAGAACTTCTATGATCGGTGAAATCGGTAAATCGGTGAATAGTGACCGAAGAGGAAGTTGAAGGCGGTGTCGGTGACCGAGCGATGCACAGGACCAAGCGTTCGTGATGGCGTCTGTTATCCACAGGATGTTTGGCAACCATGGCGTGCTCCTACGACCACCCACCCACTGGCCCTGTCCGTGCAGAACAAAGTAACAAAAAACAAAACGGATGCGCCTCCCAGGATGTGTTCAATTGACGGTTCAGGTCAGCAGAAAATGATGTCGACAACAACAACAACAACAACAACAGCAACGGAGAGAAAATCTCGATATTGAAATGCCGGCGACGGATCTTGCCATCTACTAGTTCTAACGTCTGCAATCAGCACTAACACCGCTAACACCGCTAACCAGAAGCCACGCTCGCCGGACTCCGCCAAGGGCATTCACATCTCCAATATCTCACCAATAAACATCTTGCATTCACCATTCTCACAATCCCATCCGCTTGTCCAGACCGATAGATATTCATCTACATATAGAGGTATGTACGGTGTATCATCACCGAGGCCTTGCAGGCGTTATCAAGATCAATCAACACCGCTAATATCAAACCCGCCAATTAATGAACGGTCAACATCAACAACAACACCAACATCAACGCTAACGCCAACGACTTACTCCACCAGTTCATGACTCCGCCGCGTGAATCCATGACTCCATTCTCCACGACTCCGACTCCATGTCCCCATATCCACTTATCTCCAGGGGCTTCCCAAGGAGCCAACGCCTTCAAGCTCCGCGATCCGTAAAGCATCAAGCCTGCAACAGAGCCTGAAAACAAATCAATGATGACATAGCAGGATTCCTTGATGGTGTTTGATGATGTCTGCTGATGTTAACGAAACCACCTCGCATTCCAAAGTCCAGTTGAGAGCCTCCAAAGTCCAAACTTGGAATGAACACAGTTGTTCGAGAAGGGAAAAGGAGTCACTCTCACCCATGCAAGCCACGAGTGTTGTTTACAGGGCTTGCAGCGCGAACGAACGATGTGGACAAGAAATAAGATGAGAATATCAGCGTTATTAAGGTACCTCTTCCCAGCCAAAGGACCAGCTGTACCTCCTGTTTAACTCTAGGTAGGTATCAACGAGCACCGAACAACATGTCTTCCATCCTCAACATTGAACTCTTCCAGTGGCATTGTGTTGAGTTGCTTTTCATTATTCCCCAGAAAGCTCTCTTGTATCTCCACCCGTAAAGAAGGTGTTCATGATTCACTTTCGCTTTTCATCTTTCGGCTTTGTGCCATCCATCGATCCATCTCCACGAAAGCCGCGCATGACCTTTTTCCTCATCAAAGCAATGAACATCACTGTCAAGACAAAGGATGGTGAGTAGTCGAGTTTAGCGCGTCTTTCACACACTTCCATCTTCCTCCGAGCCATGCAAGTATGACCACTTCACATTCTTTTCTCTCGCGCCCAAGGGAATGCATTCTTGCTTTGACAAGAGTTTCTCTTCTCGTCTCTCAAACAGACAAGAATCGCCCCGAGCTGTCTTTTTCTGCTTGCCTTGAAAGATATTCCCAAAGAGTAATCACTTGAGCGAAGGAGATAACTTCTTGTCTTGGTTCTGCGGCTCTCGGACTCTCACGGGTGCTGAGCCAAGACGCATTACCTTCAGTCATGAAATTGACAGCCGTCACCGTAGACTTCTGGGAGAAACTCAACACAATTCAGAATAAGACAGCAAACATTATACCCTATCCTTCACTGCGACGAGACAGAGACACTTGCAAAGTGCAATACAAGTCACAAGGTCATCACACGCATCAGAAGGCACGAAAAAGTATCCAAACGATTATATGTCAAGAGATGTTAAACTATGCTACCACTCCAAAGCCCTTAACAAAACCCATATCCAAAGCCATCCAACTCCACGCTATGCCTACCACCAAAACCACCATTCCCATTGAAGCCAAACCGGAACGCCTTAAATGCAAACCCAACGCCTGAACGCCATCGATGCAACCACGCTATGCTTCATACCCAAAACATCCATCCAAAGCCCTTAACCAACGCTGCTATCCAAAGCACACAATCCGAAGCACAAGTTCCACCATATGTCCCACTAGATTTTCACTCAAATGTCCAGTCATATCTCTAACCAAAGATCCAGCCAAATGTTTAACCAAACGTTTACTCAAGTGTTCATCCAAACACCCAACCAGATGTTCAACCATATGTTCACCCAAGTATCCAAACCACCTATCCAAAAAAGCAAAACCAAAGCACCCCTCAGAAGAACCTGTCCAATCCAAATCTCCAAACCAAATGCGCAACCAAATGTCCAACTAAATGATGAACCAAATTCTCAACCCCAATATCCAAAAACCCTATCCAAAATGGACAAATGAGGGTGTCCAGGTCAGCCTAGACAATGGACAGTCCGTCGTCCAAACCCCCGGTACAATACTCAAACAATCCACCCACCCACCGCTTGGGAGCAGCGAAGGCGTCCTTGCCGCCATGGGGAGCAGCGAAGGAGCTATGCCACCGCCCTTGAGACAAACCACGATGACCAAGGACATGTTCATCACCACAACCACCACCACAACCACGCCAACCGCACACACAGTCCAAGAACATGTTCACCACCACAACCACCACCACAACCACGCCCACCACGCACACAGACCCAATGCTTCTCCCCCTCCTCTTCGGCCGCCCCCCTCGCCCTCCCCCTCCCTCTCGAACTTCTCCTCCTCCCCCACCCTTCTTCCAATTCTTGATTATCTTGTCGTCATTCGGCCCCCATTTGCATATTCCACAATTCTGCCCCCCCATCGCGCCTCCTCTTCCGTTTTCCGCGGTCAAGAAGCTGTCCGCGAAGGTCAAGGAGGTCTTCACCCTTCCCGCGTTGGCAGGCAATACCCCGGCCACACCAACGAAGCGTGCGCCCCCAGCCTGGACGACAATGACACGAGCGACGTCCTTGGACAACCACCCCAAACCAACATCAAAAAAGACACCCCACCTCCGGTGCCAGGCCCAGCCTGCGTTCGCTGCCCGTTTCTCTACCCCAGTTGATAGGGAGAAAAACCCGGGGCCGTAAGCTCGCAGGCTGGGCGACCACATTACAAGTTGAGTGTAATGTGGTTTGGCGCCGGCTGGAACGGACTGGGTCGAATCAGTAAAGACAGATGATGCCAACACCGAAATTGGCATGGGTGCCTGGTGGACTGGAGTCACAGCCGTCGCGGTCTCAAGCCCAGCTCGCAGAGGCTGCCCACTTACTGACCCCAGATGAGGGGGCCAGAAGTTTCGGGCCTTGAGCTTGCGGCTGGGCGGAGGAAGATGCGAAACCACGGGTTGGGATGAGCCCCTGGTGGACCGCGCGGCTGTTGGGCGAGTGATGTTGTTGAGGCATGTGGTGGTTGTGGTGGTTGTGTTGGATGGTGGACATGGTGGTCTGTGGAATTGACCACGGTAGCTGATCTAGCACTGCGACGGTCTTGCACCCGCCGTTTGTGAATGGCTTGGGCTGGGCAGAGCCTAGGCCCGCAGTGCACCGGTCGCTGGTGATGATGGCAGTTTAACGTCATGCCCAGGACGTAGTTCTCGAAAACAGTGGGAACATTAGACATGATGAGAAGAGCTGATGTCTGATGAAACAGAGAGATGCGAGCGCCTGAAGACGATCCTCATATTGGGTCTGCAGCATTCCTCCTTTTGCAACGCCATGATGAAGACTTGGGCAGCTGTTGCTGAAGTCTGAACTGGAGCTGAGCCAGAAGCTGGTGCAGAGGCTGGCTTTGAGGCAGCAGGAGCGCATGAAGACCGAACCGATGCTTAGGCAGGCTTTTTTTGTGTTTGGACTCGCGGCATCGGTGTATGACTGAGAGGCCTGAGACTGGTAGTGGTTTGCTGGACGAGAAGTTGTGCCAGCAACGAGCGAGCCCAATCTGAAGATGTGGACTGCTTGCGAGACCTGAACTTGAAGAAGACAGGACTGGGGATCCCATGTTGAGTGCAAGTTGATGTGACCCAAACAGGATGAAGGAGTATCATCTCGTCCAAGGCAAGTCAAGACACTGACTGTTGTCCTGAGACATGGTGAGGGGAGGATGAAGACCTTTGGTGTTGTGTGGAGGTCGACTCTTTCTGAGACCTGAAACGGATGACTGAGGACTGCATCTGGTTCACTTGGAAACGTGTGATGCTTGTTTTCCTTGGCCGATGACGGAACGGATGTTGTATCCACGGCTGAAACAACGAGCAGCGGTCGTTGGTGTCGCTGGTGCTGAGGTTGTGCCGCTGATGCTGAGGATGCTTGCTGTTGTGGTTGATGTGCAATTGGGTGTTGGTGGCTTACAGGCTGTGACATCGCCAGGGGATGTTAAAGCATGGATGTGAGCCAGGGAAAGTGAGGCATGGATCTGAGAGCAAGCCCACGTTGGGTGTTGTGTGGAGTATGCGAAGGTTCGTTTCGGTGAGCCACAGTGATGGAGATTGGCGTCATGACTGTGAACCGAGAAGCGAAGACAACCGGCACACGTCTTGAAGTCGCGAAGAGAGTCAAGAGACAGCAGCGATGTGCAAGATGATCCGACACAGCTTGAGTGGATTGTCTGTGATACATGTTAGTGATGTTAGACAAAAGCTGTCATGGTCGAGTGAGACATACCTGATCTCTCCAGTGATGAGAGAAGGAGAAGGAGAAGCTTGATGCTTTCCAGGGTTGACGTAGCCGACGCAAAGGTTGTTGGCCGGTAGCTGTGCACACCTGCACTAGGTGGTTCCAGGTTTTGCATATCCCTGAGGCCATTCCCTAGCTCAGCTACAGAGATAAAACCGTTAGCAAACTGAAGTTATGTAAAGCAAGAGAAGAAGAGAAGTATTGCAAGAGTGTTCCCTTCAGAATGCCATGCGGTCCCGGTGAAGCGACAACAACAAACGAGGTGAAGGAGAGAAAAATCAAAAGAAAGGTTCGCGTTTTTTGCGACGTGATGGTGAGAACAACAAGGGGAAGAAAAAGCGAAACAAGGGCGCGTTTTTTTAGCGCATGTGTAACATAAAATGCAGACAGAACATAGTGAAAAGCAAGAACGAGGGGCAAGAGGCACTGCGGGGAGGCCGAAGCCACCGCGATGGCAAGGTACAGGTATCGTCATGCCTTCCAAACACCAGCTTCATGAGCCAAGTGCGAGGTCATGAGAACCGTCAAGTTCAGAGAACGTTGAGGTGAGTGACTTCATCACAGGGGAAATGGTTGTGCTTTGAACAAAACAGAAATGGTCAACTTACAGTTGATGACTCTAATGGCGAAGCCGTGACCAAGGCGAGGTCGATGACTGGTGAGCAGCCATGGTTGTATCTTGAGAGGCCGGAAAAGCGGCGCGAAGAAGCTTGAGGCGGGAGAGACTTGTCGTGGGAAAGAAGTTGGATGAGGGAGGAAAAAAGTTGAAGGAGCAAAAGAAGTGTGGGAGAGGGGCTCTTCTAGCTCCCTGGGAGAACCATGTGCCCCGCAGCTCGAGAGACGTACCGTCTGCTGAGCCATACGACTGTGTGTCAAGGGGAAAGAAAGTAAAACGACGAAGATGTGATGAGAGAGAATGCCACAAAGCTATTCAACTCTTGGTGGAAGATGTGCGTTGCGAAGAAGAGAAACGTCTGGACAGTTGAGAAGGTTGTTGAACCGGAAGTCTGGTGGGAGGCACAGCAATATAGCCGACCGGGACAGGCAGAGGGAATCTATTGAGACGAGCTCTGAGATTGCGAAGATGAGATACGTCACTTGGACAAGACGAGGCAAGAGGACATTGAGGTTCCTGACCCACCAGAGCCAATCAACTAGCGAGGACTTGGGTATGCTGGAGACTTATCAGGCAAGCACGGCGGGCGAAGGGGGCTGGGGACTGGTACTTTGGTCATGTACATCGGTCCACACTCCCGTCACTCCATCTTTTTGACTTCCAGACGGCAGGAGGTGCGTCACACGAGCAGTTCAATAGCATCAAGATGGAGACCATGCAGATGATGCCATCCGATCCGTCCACTCAGATCGCAAAGAGAGATGAGAGGGCTGAGGGAAGGAGCTCGACAATAGAAGAAGGACGGTTCATCCCGTTGTCTTCTGTCACGACCCCTGCTTCTGGCCAGACCGGTGACTTCTGTTGAGGACCCCACCAGTCTGTGGCGGCACGGCGCATATTCCAGGCTTCTTTCGAGGCTACGAGGTTGGCAAATTCTCATTGGGGCTTGGGACGGAACGATTTTGCATTGTATCGATGCTCTCACGGTGGGATGACATCGAGAACAGCAGTTTGTCTGAAGCTGTGTCCTCAAAAAGAAGCTTCTGTCCAGAACCACTGCTCGAATCGAACATACCAGTCTGGATAGAAGTGTTTTCATCCTCTGAAAAGTTTTGTACTACCAATTTGTCCCTTCCTTCTCTCGTTCAGAGTCTGCGCCCGGGATGACAAAAGGTCTCACAGAGGATCCGATGCCGCAGAGAGTAACGAATTTGGCTTCCTGGACGGAAGGAGGACAGAAGGCACCAACAAGGCCACGGTATTTCGGGGTCACTTGCGTTTGCTCTCTGCACTTGAGGAGGTTTATCATCATGAAACGTGAGCGCGTTCCATCTTGGGCTTCCTCCACATCCATGGAGATTGTGCTCCATCAAGTTCGGGTCACAAACAGGACGAGGCCAGAGCTCACAATGGCAGTAGCCGTCACCAGCTCGGGATGGCGTGTCCTCTCGGGACCGATGATGTGGCAGGGGCGCGAGAGGGCAGATCGAGACGAAGTACCGATGTACCTGAGATGGGGACAAGAGCCTGGAAGGGAGGAGAAAGGAAATAAACAGGGGGTCTACCGCAGAGTACCTGCCGTGGGTGGGAGGATGAGGTGATGAGGTGCTGAGATAGGCGATGTGGTCATCGGAGAAATTTGAGAACAGGTTGATTCTCGTAGAGATGTAGCTGCGGAAAGAGCAGTGGATGAGCAGTGGAGGATCACTAGGCTGCTAAATGGGTCATCGAGATCGCCAAAGAGAGCATCACGATCATGACAGGTGAAAGTAGAGAAGTCAAGATATTGCGACCCGGATGCTGCATTATTCCACCTTCTACGCTGCCGTGACTGCCCTGGGCGCGCGTTTTCGGAGCCCAGAGCCACGAAGCAAGTGCGAATGGCATCAAGGTTGACTTGGTGAACTAAGGTACCTCTACATGATTACATGATAGGGGACAATGAGTTTGATCATCGTGCTGAACCCAAAACACAGAGACAGGAGCTCTCTGGACCGGGTCTGAAGAAAAAGCCGTTGCATGTTTCTTTGTCATGCCTTCTCAATTTTCGTGTTAAAATTTGAGTCAGTCGCGGGAGTCCCTTATCGTCATCTGCCACTGGACCGCGCGGCCAGGCGCCAGCTTCATCAAGGATCACGCACAACACCAGAAAAACAACGTATCACAATTGCATGAGTCTCAACGAGATGCTTCCAACTCTCCATCAAGCCTGCAGAAATTTGGCTCCAGGTTGTGCGTCCGAGATGCGCAAAAAAGCGTCACCCAAATCGCTGGCCAGGCTCCGACGGGGACCCACTGGGGACACTCAATCATCATCACCACCAGCACTAATTTTCGTGTTGGCCCTAGAGCGCAAGGCAATGGAAATTGCATCAGATCACTCTATCCATTGTGCTTTGGTCGTTATCTACATTAAAAATCCAAAGTCGTCGCTTCTACTTGCTCAGTCCGGGTGAAAGTTGGCGGTGGACACTCAATCCAAACAACAGTATCACGCGTCTCTGTGCCTCTTCCAACCTCTTTGACGCTGTTTAAACCATAGACTGTGATAAAAATGTCTTGCCTTCCTTTCGGAAAACGCTGTCAATGGAGCCAGACAGTTTCCGCTGGTCGGCATATGGCGATTGTGACGGACCATTTGTTGCCGGGAACATTCGGACAACAGGAAAAAAAAGGCAAGTATTTGCATTGTTGGAATGTACCACTTGTCACCAAGGGCGCATATCACAATTGTATTTGCATCTAAAGTCGCGAGGAAATGTGTGGGAGGACCTGTCCCTGGCCGGTGACGGTGCGGGGCACGGCCTGGAAGTCACCTAGGACACTCGGCCACGACAACATCACGAAATCTTCGAAAAGATGCAGGATGCACTCAATTTATGGTTCTGGGCAGTGTACTAGTTTGAATGACAAAAGAAATTGATCATGCTGTTCTCTACGAAATTCTCTTGACACACATTGAAGCTCATGCCCAGCACCGAGCGGTCGTAAGAATAAACCGAACATGGGCAGTCCAATACGCCTCGTTTTGACTAGAAAAGGACACCAGAGCAAACAAAGCCTTCCCATCCTGCTGCCCAAGTCACCCTCCCGCTGCGTCTTTTCCTTCTGGCATCGTTGAATGCTCTCATGCAGTTCGTGGTCCGGCTTCCGAACCAAACCGCCATTGTGAGTGACGCCATAGCAACATCTGCGAGAACTGGCTGATGGGTGATGGCGCTCATCAGCCAGTTCTCCACATCCTCACTGCCTTCGGATGGACGCTGTTCATTACAGCCGAGTCCATGTCTTGGACATTGTACCTTTCGGGCAGCGTGGTATTGAACGGACGCATTGTTAGTCGAGTTCTGCCGTGGTGTGATGACAAGGGAGTTAGCCATGGAGTTCGTGTTTGATGGAAAAGCTTTGACTGACATTCATTTTGTTGAAGAACCTCAGATGGCTCTTGAACGAGCAAGTTGTTGTGACCCAAAGTCAGAAATCCAATGAAGCCAGCCTCAGAGACGGCCAGTGACTCATCCCCGCTGATGGTGCCAGCGACATCTTTGTTGATGTTGTTACTACTGTTGTTGTTGCTGGTACTGGTGCCGTTGTACAGCTGGTAAATGTAGTGGTGATGGTGGTGAGCTATTGGATGGCAAGTTAGCACTGCGTGGCGACCATGTTTATCTGCCTGCCATTGTCGCTATCTCCGAAGTCTTGCCCGAACGTCTGTTGCTGGCAACATGAATGACATCGAAGTAAATTTTGAGGTCTAAGATTCCTGGCTTACCTCGTGGTTTAGGGGGTTCCAACTGATGCTGTTTCTCGAGGGGAGCAATCAGCGGCCCTCCTTGTTGTGGAGGTTGTCGGAGACGCTTGCAAGAGGAGCTCTTGAGGTGTCCCTCGCGATTTGGATTGCGCTGGGAAGAGAAGACTCTTTGAAGACCTCAGAAAGGGCGTCATGAAGGTGACGTGTGGTTAGGTGGCGCTGTCTTGCTGAGAAGGGGCTGCGGCGGTACCGTAAGGTTTGGGGAGTGGAGGTATTGAGCTTCAGAGCCGCATGGAAGGCTCCGTCGCAAGTGGTGATTTGGACAATGTCCGCAAAGAAAAGAAATGTGAAGATCTTCATGATGGTGAGTTTAGGATAAGAAGTTGAGTCTTGCTCATCAATTATTGTGGAGGAAGTCTGTTCAGTTGTTTAGAATGCGTTGACGGAGGTATCGCTTTGAGCTGGGGAAAAAGGTCAAAGGTTGACGACAGGAATGGGACAGGTTTTAACCTGGAAAATCTCCTCATGGTCGAGGCAAAAGGTTCCTGCCGCCTACGACGAGTGTCCAAGGAAGTCACTGGCGAGCGTTTCAACATCTGACTATATCCTTGCCCACTGACTTCTTCCCCGGCGATTACGCGGCTACCCGACACTACCACTACCGCATCGAGACTCACCCTACAAGCGGAAGTCACATATCAAATCTTGTCTCTGCAAGTGGAAAGCCCGGGATCAACAGATGTAGAAGCCGTATTCGGTCTAGCTTCAGAATCAACCGTGACGTTCCTGCCTCTCTTCCTTCAAGTGACAGCAGACTGAGCCTGAACTGGGACAGGCCGACAGCGACTCCAGGTACTGGGGCGTGCCACAGCGCCACAAAGGGCTTGTTGAGACTCGGCGGGGCTGACCATCTGATCAACAAGGCTTTTGGACTATATACGCTGCAAAATACCTCCATGAGCGAATCTGGGCGCCCATTCTTGTCATCCTATTTCGATAGCAAACAGATTTTCAATAACTTGCTCGCTTCAATCATCCCAAGCCAGGGTTGGTGTCACCGTAAATGCAATACTGTGCAATAGATCAGGATAGAAAGGCCCAGATCGTCTGATGGAAAGGCAGGGCTGGCGTCATCTGGTTTGCTCCGGTCGTCTCGCACACCCAGGCGACCCCAAAAGTACCAAAGTCACTTCTCCCCTCATGGCACTCCTGCAGGCAGGGCTCCACCCTGATTTGCCCTCCCAGTCCCACACACTCTGTGCTTCTTTTCTTTTCTGCCGCCCTGCCTTTTAAACCCTTCCCTCTTCCTTTCCTTCCAACTTCTCTTCTTCTTGCTTCATATATCACCAAAACCTCCCCCGCCCTACCCAAGGGCGGCAGCCAGACATGGCGTCCCGTCGGGTATGTGATTATTTATGTTCAGGCAATGTTCGCCGCGCCTTCAACTGATTTACTGACCAACACCACGGTGGCCCAGCACACACCTGGCCCGTGATTGGGACCACCGACGGGGGCGCTACAGTAATGCCTTCTGTGGTAAACGGGATACGTGTCGTTGCAGGTATGCTCCAGTGGTGCATCTCATCTCACTCTTGTTCACCTGCTAACCTGCCTGTACAACAGCCCGCTGCCCTCGACCCCAAGAGAGGACGCTGCCAGGATGTGCACCCAGACCGTCCTAACCACCCGCCTCTGCAAAAAATGCGGCTCCCCCATGTCCAACGCCAAGTGCACCAGTCCTTGCGGTGGCATCGGCCACATGTCCCGTGAGATCTCCTCCTGTCTTCCATGTATCCCCAATCCAGCTAACCAAAGTTCCACAGGCGGCTGCGTCAACGGCTCCAAGTGCTACAACTGCGAATCCACCGGTGGGGTCAGTCTTCGCCCTGTTTTCACAAGACACCTCGACCGTCGCAGCATGCCTTTTCGGCCGGGGCGCCGCCCCCGAGCCCAACAAGCGCGCTCTTTACGTTGGCGGCCTCAACCCCCGCGTCACCGAGGACGTCCTGAGACAAGATCTTCAAGACCACCGGTCATGTCCAGAACGTCAAGATCATTCCTGACAAGGGCCGGTGGTGGTGCTCCCCGCCCCATCACCGGAGATCTGACGGGAAAACAATCGTAGAGGTAAGACTTCTTTGACTTCGCGTCTTTCAACAGCAACTAACAACTTCAATGACAGCGCCACTCCGTCCTGGGGAAAGAACGGCGACTTGAGCACACCGATATACGATATGTATAGGCCGCGGCGAGCGGGGGCAAGTGCCGGTTCGTCCATCGGCGGGTCTGTCTTGGAATACTGATGAGAGTTCGTCGGCGGTCTGTCTTGGAACAGGAGCTCCGTCACCGGGCTGTCCGGGTACGTCCTGGGCATTCGGAGACGGAAGCAGGGGATGCCTGTGTCCTTGACAGACCTGGGAGAGAGAGGTGGCTTGGCTTGTATGGTAGAGATAGAAAACAAGAAGAAACACTTCAAAACAACTTGCGTTGCTCAATTGGTGATTGCTGATGTGTCTTGTGACTTGCTGTGAATCACTCTGACTGCCGTTTTGTGTCATGGTCTAATGAGTCTTGTTGACTGCTTGGACTTGAGTGATGACATGTTCCCAGGCTCGCTTGGCACGGGGGGCAGGTTTGCAGTCAATCATCGCGAAGTCATCACGCTCACACATGGATGCCGGGTACCTTATGAATGAGTGTCGCTTGCCTCTTCGGACCAGGATTCTGTTTTGTTCTTCAAACCTGGAAGTTTGGTGATGCCGTATCTGGTTGTTGGCATATCTCAAAGGTGATGTTAGAACAGAGTCACGCAGAAATGGCTAAATGGGCAGTTATGGGCGAGTCATAGGCAAAGCTATTCGTGTGTGGTGTAGGTGGTCTGGTAACACCGTCAATCTAGACAGATCTCAAAAGTTGCTTGAAGTCAAAAGTGGCACCATCGTCGCCCACCTGTGGAACTGCACTCTGCCAAGAAGCAATTACGAAATGCAGTGCTGTTACGTTACTATCACAGCTGCCGCCAAATTCCCGCATGTGCAGATGATACACCATCTAAGTGTCATCGGTGGAACCCCGCGGTCTTTCCCAATCCGGCTTCTACGGTGGCATCTCAGCAGAGCCTCAAAACAACTACAACGATATCTCTTCACCTCCTTCTGCTACTCTTCATTGGAATTGAATTTGATGGATTGAACAACTTGGACGCATCAAGACGGGACTTTTGCACATCACAATATCGTCTTACCAGCCAAACACTCTTCGCTTCCAGTCATCGACGAGAACTGCAGGACGCCCACAGACCACAGTGCTTTACAGCAGGGCATACATGCTATCAGCGATGCAACAACAAGTTCCCCGGTAAACAGCGGCATCAAACACCTCGACATGGTATTGCAGATGCATGAAAACAATGCATGTTGCATTTGTCGTTCTCCATGATTCCATGTAAAGCAGAGTAAAACAGGCTGGATTCTGGACCTGCATAACCGGACATCGGTGGCTGAGTCTTTCGGCACAAGGGGTACCTTATAAAGCCAGGTTCAGCGGACGACAACTCACCTTTTCCTCTCATCATCTCTCAACACAAAAAACATCTTCATGACCAAGGGACCTCAGAGTTAGGGATGCTCTCTTTCTTCAAATGTTCTCTTCTGTTGTCTATCTACCTAATCTGTCCTAGTATTTGCAGCTGCCGAGATAGGTGTTCTTGGTGTTACCGGGATCAACCAAGCTACTCTATGCAAAAGAGAATGAGCATTAGTGAGCTAGAAGGACTCCCACCTTAGAGGAGCCCCTTTCCAAAGATCCCATGACACAAACTCGGCTTATTCTTCTTCAATGGACCCTCCACCCATATACACTGCACAATGCTGACCCAAGTGTATAGCCGTTATCGATCTTCTTCTTCCAGCTTCGGGAAGTGTTCGCGCAACGACAGCAGCGACACCACGAGCCCCGGAGCGCCATGACAGAACTACCCCAGTCCCTTGCCGGTATGCGCAAAATGTCTTTTATGCTCGGTGGTGTTACGATCCAATCGTTGAGCCTCATGTAAGCTAGATAGATTGACCAATCAGATAGGACCCGGGGTTGAAGACCAGTATATAAGAAGGCCTCCCGGCCTTCGTTATACCTGGTTCTTCAGCAAGCAATAGCTATCACAACCTACCAGTACCTTTTGGCTACTACTCCGTTACTCTATTGTTCTATCCCAGCGATAATACTCCTGTGCTTGTAACGGTTCGTCACAGGTGGTTCCCTTGGACACAAAGTTCCCCGGGAGGCATAAGACGGAAACATCATGTTCACAGGGGCGGCTAGACTTCAGGTAGCCATGGTTGGCAGTCGAGAGAATAGTCTCAAGGCCCCTCGGCCGGCGCTGTTGAGGGAGCGCGCGCGAGGAGTGCCGGCAGCACAGATGCCTCTGACTGTGAGAGGGAAGAAGAGCCCGAGATGGAACTTGTGATTGAGGGGATACGCTGAGGAAGGGTGCTCGGCTTCAAGTTCTTCACCTCAAGGATGTAAGCCCTGCTTCGCCTATATTTCCCAGTGGAATGGTCCGCCTAACAAGTGGGTAGGTATTTACTGGGTTTTTTGACGGTTCATGTTGGCTGAGCCTGTTTGCCGCTGCTGCGGGAGAAGCCACCGCCACTACAACTGAGGTTGACAAGCTCCCGATCTCTGAGAGCTCTGTCTGGTACAGACTTTCAGGACTGATGAACTAGGAGACTCCAGTCCAATTGAGGATGGAGAGGAGACGAACTCTCTGCCGGACCTAGTGTGATTGGTGGCTCGGGCGTTGACCACCTGTATTGTTCTCCAGTAGGCCAGACATCGTTTTTTCTTCTCTGTGAAGAGCGCCTTGGCTTCCTTCATGTTGTTCAACAGAGGCATTGGCAGATGCCTTGGCCCCGAAGTCGATTGTCGCATGACGCGCGGCAGAATTCAGCTCCTTTGAGTCGACTGTCCAGTGGCTTTATGCCTTAGTTGGAGTCCTCGTCGAATGATGGTTCTAGGATTAGGAAATCCTGACGATCGCGGTTTCGAGTCTGCTCGTCCTGGGGGATGTCGATGTTGAGGTTCTCACCTGGGAGTTGGTACTCGGGATCGGGGTATTCAACATCGGGTCCCTCAACTTCATTGTGCTGGACCCCGGTGTAATTGCCAACGTCATTCTGCTCAGCCGGATCTAAATCAAGCTCAGAGTCCTCAACAGGATTTCTATCCCCATCCCTGGACCAAGCCCACAAACAACCTCTCAGCCTCCTAACCAACTCCCTCGCCTTGATCTCATGTCCCACTCGCACATAGGCCAAACTGCACTCCGGCTCCTGCCCAGGCAGGCAAGTGTTCCACGGCTTAAGAACCTGGTCCCGATCAACCCACTGTAAGATTAACCGAATGACGTTGCGGGATCTGCTTTCCGGTACGCCTTCAGGGAACAGAGGTATGTCCAAGTGAGCCTCCATAACTCTCTTCCAGGTATCGAAGTACTGTGGGAGCCAGGAGCAAGTGCAAGCCTGCGAGGTCTCTTCTCGCACTTGCGCGTCCCACCTGGCCTTTGTGGCGTCGGACAAATTCTCTGTGACTCTGGCTGGAAGCTGAGAGAGAGGAAGTGGCAGCAGACAATGGGGAGGAAAGGGCGCTTCGCGGTAGAGGACGTTGTAGAACAGGAAGAGAAGGCGGATGGCTGGGGCGGAGAAGTGCTCTATTTCGTCTGTTTAAGAGGACAAGGGAAGGTGTTAGTGGTTCTGCCATAATACCGTTCGTAGTCCTAGACGGGGAGGTGGTGGATGGACTTACTGAGGATATATCTCTCCTCGTCCGTCAACTCGTTCTCAAGATGCAGGTTGTGGCCGCGTCGGATGTCTTCTGTCATATGGGCCCAGAAGGCGTCCCCCAGTCTCTTGGTGAGGTTAACACTCAGCTGATAGAAGACATCCCGTTGACCGAAGTAGAAGGCAGCCTTGACCAGCTTCCATCAGTCAACGTTGTTTTCGACGATGATTTGGCGACCGTTCCTCTCATACAAGAGCCATGCTCACGCAAAATGCAACAGTGAGAATGTGTTCGAAGTTGGATCCGCCACGCCAATGTTGAACTCCAAGTCGTGCACCGTCTTTGCGATTCGGAGCAAGAAGTCGAGCTCGAGGAAGTTCACATTCGAACCTGAAGCGGGGATGGCCATGTGCCCGCTGTGGCATGCTTGGAGGATCAGGAAGAGCGCCTCAGTATCGACGTCTGAGACGCCGACCTTGAAGAGTCTCTGTTGGTCATCAGTTCTGGGAATGTTCTGGATGCACCTATCGCTGAAGAGCCTCTTGTAGAACGAGGAGTTCAGGTATAGGTGGCATTAATGGATCCGGAACACACGCTCGATATCATCGTTGGGGAAGGTGGTGAGGATGGTGTCACCGTCACGGTCAAAGTTGGTGGGTTCTACAGTCTGGTAGAAAGTCCGGTGCAAACTCCAATCGGGGAATCCAGAGGAGCGGGCACTTGACGAGGTGCTTTGCGAAGGAATTTGGTCGCTCATTTTGCCGGATTTGGTAACGAAAGCTTCAATGGTAATGCCGTTGGAGATGGCTTTCTGGCGCTTTGCTTGAAGTAATAGAGAAGGCGAAGAGGTAGACGGCGACGAAAGAGGAGAAGTGATGGTAATGGAATCAACGAGGGGAAGAGATGCGGGTCTCGAGATGTTAGAAGATGGAAAAAGGGAAGTAGAAGTATATAAGGCTGGAGTGACAGGGCTCTCTCGAACGCTTTGGACACTGCTGGAACGAAAGTGGAAGTGGAGATTGACGCGCCGCGAAGGTCGAGTGAAGGGAAGAATAGTCCCTCGGGAGGTACCTGCCTCGCCAAATCCCTCCCGCCTTCACTTCTCCGTCCTACCAGGCGGCCTTTTCTCCACCAAATCAGGTACTATATACTCGTCGGCGCTTGAAAATTTCTGTTCAGCAACAACCAACTCCTCTTTACAGCCTGTATCCTTCCAAACAGCGCGTCATCTTCCTTCTCGACATACAGCCACGAGCATACCACCTCCCTCTCTCTTTTCAGCAATGTCGCAACCTAACACCACCCTAATCATGCCTGCTCGCTATGATCACCTCCGCAAAGCTCTCCAAGCCTACAGGGACGACCCGCTGGTTGAGTCCTTCCTGTCTGGAGCGCGAGACATCATCTTCGACGCAGACGGCGACCTCATCCTCACCGTCGGCGACGAACATGACTCGCGCAACTTCCGCGTCCGCTCTTGCCTACTCCGCCAGCATAGCTCCCGGTTTGACAGCCGGCTCGGACCAATGTGTGTAGAAGCGTCGATTTCCAACGATCCCATCAGGTGCAGCATTCGTTATGACGATGTTTCCACCTTCTTCTTCCTTGTCCTCTACCTGCACCGTAACATCTGGTGCAGCAGTCCTCTTCCCCTAAAGACACTCGTTCGCTTTGTGCGGACGACTTACTTTTCCCAGTTCGACAAGGAGTTGCCCGACGGGAACTCCCCGCTCCGAAAGGCTCTTGAGCATTGCCTGGCTTCTACCTCTGCGAGGCTTGACGAGGACGAGATGGCCAGCAAGTGGACGCTGATGAAGTGCGCCTTCTTCGTTGGTGATCGTGCTTCCTTCGCGCGCGTTGATCTTGAGCTTGTCCGAAGGCACGCGGGATCCCTTTGGGATCTGGAAGCCCAGCTAGGAGAGCTCCTCGGGCAAGACGAGGGTCAGACCACTTATCTACATGTCCCTGAGGATAGAGACAGTGTTGGAGGCACGTGCACGGGTGCCATTCACGCACACCACGCCACGCACGGCCTCTCTTCCTGGCATTTTAGCCCTCCAGACCTCTCCACAGATTCTTTCTCCTTCTAACGCAACTCAATACCAACCATCAACTGCTTCCATTTTCGTTGCCTTGTGCGTCGCACAGACAGTCAGTTACTGCGGGTGCTTTGTAAGTCGAATGCCACAGTGAAACACTTCCCGGTATCAAAATATCCTCTGTTCTAACATCCTCTCCTCACAGCTGGACTTACGCAACTCCGCCGCAAATACCGCGACGAGCTCAACGCCCTCTACTTCGGAGACATCTACGACCTCCTCTTCGACGAGACTTATTTCCCAGAAGACAACCTGCTAGACATCCCCCGCTGCCCTCACGCTCATCGACGTCGACATCCCCCGCTGCCCTCACGCTCATCGACGTCGACATGTCTACATCTACCGAGAACACAGCACCAGTTACTGCCAAATCCATGACCAGCACGAGCACGAGCCATGAGGTTGCGAAGCAGTGTACCTGCGGCTGACTCCCGACCTACTACAACTCCTGGTTCGAACTAGTGGACTCCTCCAGCTTTCGCTTCCCGCTCAACACAGAGAGCCACTCGCTTGACATGGCATACCTGCCATTCCGCAAGTTTCTCCTCAACTCCCGTGGCGAGGAGGCCGTTCAAAGGCCGTGGATTGACTGTCCTGTCGATAAGAAGCCGAAGGAGTGCGAGATGAGCCCACGGGAACATCATCGCGCGGGAAAAGATCTTTGTAGAGAACCGGCGAAGGCGTGGGCGGGTTGGAGCAGGAAATGAAGATTTTGGTTATGTCTTGGGGTGAGAGGAGGGAGTTGACGTTGGAGTGGAAGCCTTGGAAAATGGAGAAGGAGAGCGAAACGGAGGGCTTCCATTACCAGTAGTGGCAGATAAAGCGGGTTTTCTCTTTTGCTGTCTTTAATGGACTGGATTGAATGGTTCGGGTGGCAAAGATGGGGGGCAACAACCCGGGATTAAGGGATAGGGGCACGATTCAGGACATCAGGGGTGAACTTATGGTGTTGAAGAAGCTTAAGAGGACATGATACTGAGAGACCCGGGAGATTCATGCCACTCTAATAAAGAGTTTGGTCATACACCCAAGCTTCAGAGAATGGCATCAATTCTAGAAAGAAATACATCTATCAAATTCAAGCAATCTATACCTCTACATGATGCGTCCCTTGTTAGAGGTAGACTATTCGGTCATGGGAGGAAGAGTGTCACCCAGAAAGGCTTCCAGAGATGCACCTTGCCCTTATACCCCTACAGATATGCGTATGGGCATGACACCGGACTCTGTCCTTTCTCGTTATGCCGAACTCAACTGACATATTCTGCCATGACTCATGAGCAGAATGGCATAAGTTCATGTCTATGAGCATCTCCGCAACAAATCAACACGCGCTACAATCAAGGCAGAAGCACAACATGAGCTGAGGTGTACAGAGGACCTGATAAAGTCACATACCTAAGGGACGCGGCCTCTAGAAACTTCTAGCCCCTTTTTACCTCCAGTTTTTTTTTTTATGTTTGCAATAATCCACATCTTTCCGCCCATGTCCTTTGGCTCGGGTAGTACCTTGTTCCTTCCAAGCACAGGTCCGAGCAACATCCGCTTCCAGACAGGCCGGCGGTGACTTACGTCAAAGTATACTGTGTAAGAGAAGACTCCAGGTTGATATACATACCTAAGTGGCTGTGAGGATCTGCTCAGACTGCTCTGTACATGTGCTCAGTGGTTCTCGGTGCCCTCGGAGAGGATGTTCTCCCAAACTCCGAACACAAAAGGCACTAGAACTTCATGTTCCGAGGACATGGCGCGAGAGGACGGGAGGCAAAGAATGTTAGCCTGAGTGGTAGGAGCAGCAATATGGAGGCGTGAGTGGTACTCTGAGACTCTGGGAGACCATGGTCCGAGGGGGAAGTTGCCCTGTGGTAATGGGAGAAGAAGAAACGGCATAAGAGTCCTGATGTATGAGATTTGAAGTGGTGTCAGACCCTGGGCAATAAGAGCGGTGGTTGTTCCGGTATTACTTCGGTGGTATGGGCTTAGTTTGGGGTCTGCCTCTTGGGCTTCATGTTGCGGCGGACCAAAGTCCATGGTACCCCAGATCGAACAAGGCAGCCGTGAAAGCTCCGGAGACTGGTGGTTCCGGAGACTGGTGGTGCTCCCCGCAGTACAATGCTAAGATGCTTCCAAACTGGGACATAACCGTCTGAGCCTTAAAGTAGCGCATGGCCTCATCCAGTTGAGCGCCGGTCATGTTGTTTATGCTGACTGGTGGTTTCCCCACGGGCACATGGCTAGCATACACATGTGGCACATGTGGGTGGGAGCACAAAAGTCCTCAAGAGACCTGCATGGTCAATGTCTGCTCCTCCATATAGTGGTTGAATGCGGGTTCCATGTCCGTGGCCACGGACCGACTGAGGCCGTCCATGGCATGTCAGGGGCGCTTAGTGGCCTGGTGGAATTCGCCTTATGAGGCATTGGTGCCAGCTCGGGGGGCGGTGTGCGTAATCCTGTACCCTTTGTCGCGGGCTGTCTGGACGCCGGGCAACTTGGGGCCGGACATAGAGGGTTGGGCGGTTGGGACCGTTGATAATCAGACCGTCACTCTCTGGTGCTGGTTCTGGTTACTCTGCACCCACGTTCCCCAAGGGACATGTGCCGAACCCGATGTAGAGGTAGATGGCTGGCTGTGAACCGGGTCTTGGGAAGACTAAGACGTATACACCCAATTCGTCCGGTGGGAATGGGTTTGGTAGAGACTTCAGGAGGTTGAGTGGGATGCCCAAAGGACCAGGAATGTTGGGCGCAGGTGTTGGTGCTGGTTGGGCGAGACGGAATACAGGTGGAGTGCATGATCGTGAAAGGCGGCGGCGGCGATGGTTGATGCACCTGGTGTTGGTGGTGGTGCCGGTGATAGAGCAGTGGTGCTAGTGATAGAGCGATGAGATCAACCTTCAGATGAAACACTTCGCTTTTTATCCCCCAAGACAACCAGTTGTCGAACGGATATGTTTTGGATGACGAGATTTTATCTGGCAAGTATCAGTCCAAGCTCAACAGGTATCTCCTAACGGTAGGTTTTCTCCAAAGCCTCCTCCCACAGCCGACGTCTCGTCGTTTCGAGTTCAGCGCCTCGAAGGTAGGCCGGGCGAAGACCTTCGCCCCATGCATCATGGGAGCCCAAGCCCCGGTAAGGTACCTTATGGAGTTGCTCCATGTGGTTGTGGCTGCCCGGTGTTCGTGAACATGGTGTGAACCGTTTCTCGGACAACGGCGATATCTCACTGGCCAGGGGCACTACATGGCGACGGCGCTCACTCAGGGGCCATCGAAACCATCAAATCATGATCATCCACCAGGCCACACCAGATGAATGCCCCTGCCCCTGCCCATGAGACGAAGCGGCCCAGACCAAGAGCAGCCAAAAGCAGCCTACTCGATGCACTCCAACAACATGACATCCAACCGCAAAACCTTTTCTGTCCTCCGGCTCCGGCTCCGGCTCCGGCTGAGGTTCGGGTTCCGGCCCAGCCGCCTAAACCGCCCCAACCGCTCCAAAGCGCCGGAAACAGAAGAACGAAGAAGAAAAAGGCAAAGGAGAAGGAGACAGTTAGTTCCCGCCCTATCCTACCTAATCAGGACTTCTTTAGGAGCTACCCTCCGCGCACACCCAAAAACTCCCCGCGCACACCCATCAAGTACACTCTTTGGGGTCACTTGAAGAAATAGCAGGTTTTACAATTAGGTATACCGGTTTTCCTTGTATACCCTTCTTTATTATACCTATTCCAAGTGTCCCAAAGCTTTTTCAAGATACATCTGGCCTTCTTTATAGCTATTGGTGATGGTAAACTTACTAATAGGTACTTAATTATTACTTATCTTTCAAACTGCAAAATACAGTCAACAACAGCAAATTAGAACAATCGAAAGTAATAGAGTCTTATAAAAAACTTGAGAGTTTCTTAGAAAGTCTTTTTTATAGAGTATTTGAGAGGAAAAAATGCGAGTATGGTCAACTTGGCTGCCTTGGGGGTTTTTCATGGGTGTGCGCGGGGAATTTTTGGGTGTGCGCGGAGGGTAGCTCTTCTTTAGGCCCTCCCTCGGCCTCCAGCCTATTGTACCACATCCGGAGTCCGGACAGGGAATGATCGCACAAGCCAGCCAGTGACAAAGCCATCATAACCCCAGCCTCCACCCTTCAGTGAAAATCTCGACCCGATAACATGCCCCTGCGTATCTAGGGACGGGGCATGGAGAAAGGGCTGGACTCACTGGAGTCACTAACAAAACTACCTTTACTAAGGAGTCCAGCCCAGCCCTTCCTCTGCTCCCCTTCCCCTCCCTCCACCAAAACACCGATCAGGTTCATGTTCACGACTGGACTTCGCTTGGGAGTTGGGATGTCGACTGTGTATCTGGGAAGAGCGAGGATGTATGTATGACACAACTCCCTCTACACAATGCGGATCCAGTTCAAAGCTGGGCCCCGTAAGACTGGAGGTCGTTCTGGTGTTACCTAACCAGAGGTACCTCTATTATCCAAGGCCGCCGCTGTCTTACCGGGCAGTGGCCTGTCTCATGTCGTCCCAGATGAGTATGACCGGCAAGTGAAGTGCTTGATGCTGTAGATTAAGGTCTTAACCATCACTGGCTATAGGCAGGAAGATTTAGAGAGTCAAGAGTGTGTGGGAGATATCGGGAAGGGCTCTCGTATGGATCCCTGAATACGAATGTATAGCCTCCTCTTCTGGACATGAACACTTGTTTCGGGATTGTGTTCTGGCCTTTGGACATTCGGTGGACTTTGGGTGGTGTGTAGTGTATGCTGAGCGTTTGTCTTGGTTGTCTGTCCCGTCTTCACTGCCACTGGTTACAACTGGCTAATGCGAATGTCGTCCATAGATAAGGTATCTGAGAGTCAGATAAATTGTTAGGACGCAGAAGGGACGGCCAAGATTCATTGTACAGGCTGTGATACTTGTCAGTGAGTAAAGTTGTGATAAGAAGATACGTTTTCACTTCTCGTAGTGCTGTTCCATATTGTGTAGGCTGTGATCACTCGATAAGCATCGTTTAATATCAAGTCCCTATCACTGACGTCAACTCATCCACTCATCGGGGCTTTATTGAAACTCCACCGTTCTCCAGCAAGTGGAACATTCTGATACTCCTGCTGCTACACTGACAACTGAACGAAGTGGGCATTACTCCTTCTCCAGTTACCATGGAGGTCGGACCAGCGCTGTAAACAAGTCAAATCAAGTTAAATAGGGGGTTTCAATTTGCTTGAGTGGGGCGGACTTTGTGGCCGATTTGTTTACTTGCTTGCTTGGTCAAGTTGGTCAAGTAATTGTTAAGAATGGATCTCACCTATAACCTTAACCCTCTTCCGGCTTCGCTTCTCGAAGTCTGGATAGCGGGCGAGATGGACCAGTTTTACTACAAGAAAAAAGATTCTGCCGGGCGGCCAAGTAGACCAAGTAAGTCAAGTAGGGGTCCCCAACTTGAACAGCGGGGTGATCTCAACTTGTTTACTTAATTTACTTACTTACTTGACTTGCTCCACACCTACTTGACTTATTTACAGCGCTGGGTCGGACAGCTTCAGAACCCCGTCCGAATGCAGTGATAAGAAGTCATCTTGCACCAAGTAGGGGTCCATGTCAAAATTGTGCAACAGTACAACATGAAATGAATCATGTCCAATCTATTTGCAGTGGAGTCTACCACAGCTGGCCCAAAAAGGGGGTCCTATCCAAAATGCCCCCCTGTCCATCTTTCCCTTCTATCCGAAGCATCCGAGCTTCCCCAAACCCAAAGTGTGAGAAAAAGATGAATGCCAAATGCAAAACAATGAAAATGCTCGCGTAATTGCGTGATTGATCGCCGAACTCCATCTGTAAAACCGAGAAACCGAAAAGAGAAGAAGGAAACCATTAAGAAACTGGGGCCAGTCTGAGGCCGTAAAATCCGTAAATCAAGCAGTAAGAAGACCTGGGAATGCCCTCAGTGTGTCTGTCTTCTTACTCCACCAGATCCCGGATGGAAGGAATAAGGAAACAAGAGGCTGGTGGTCCACTGAGTCCTCTCCAAGCCGGGAAAGAAGGGACAGTCGTGTGTGTCTTTGCATCTTCAACAAGGTGGCTTCATTGTGGCGTCTGGCGTTCAATGGGTCTCCTTGCTGATGACCTCCTCACGCTCCAGACCGGCGGGCCTGGTGACGGAGAGGTGCTTGGGGAAGGCCTTGACGATTCCACCACCAGGGCACTCCATGAAGGGGTTGGGGTCGGAGACCTGGTCGAGGTTGCCGAAGGTGTGGTTGACGCCACGGTGGGAAGCCTCATCAGCCTGTGAATTGTTAGTATAGAACGAGCTTGCAGGAGTGAGTGATGAAACCTACCCTGACGTAGAGGATGAGATCCTTCATGGTCCTGTGACCCTCGGGCATGTTCCAGTAACGGACAGCAAGATCGGGGATACGGAACTTGGGGTCAGACCACTTCTTAAGGCAGCCATGGTCAAGCTCAAGCAGGCAGCGGGTGTAAGTGTGAACAGCCTCTTCCTCAAGGTAGCCGACGAAGCGGTGGCAAATCTTGGGAGAGAAGAGGTAAGAGATGAACATGGCGTTGTAGAAGACGCCCTGAGCACCAAGAACGACAAGTCTCATAAACCAGCCGGGCTTGTACATCTCAAGGAAGGTGAGGAGATGCATTCTCTCGTTGTAAGACTCCTCGAGAAGAGACTTGATCCAGCCCTGGTCGGGCTGGAAACGGCGAATGGACTGGAGGTGGCGCAAGCTGCCAGCAACCATGCCGGGAACACCAGCAATGGACTCAAGGAAGATGAAGCGAACGAGCTAGCGTTGTTAGCACAGAACGTGGTCAGATAGTTGAGGATGAACCTACCCATTGACGCTCAGTCAAGGGCTTGCTGGCAGCTAAAGCAGTCGTGGGGTTCTTGGAGTCGACCTGTTGCTCAGGGCGCATGCCGGTGACGAGATCCATCCAGAATCTTGAACATAAGTTAGCATTGGATGACAGGAAGATTCAGGACGAGTACGAACCTGCAAGTGCGGACAATCTTCCAGGCAATCCAGTCACCGAAAGTCCTAGGCTCACGATGGCTGGGAACAACGTTCAGGAGAACATTCTCATTCCAGCCATCGTGGGGCCACGTGAGTGGCAGATGAGCAAAGGCTTGCCCTTCATTAGCCTCCGCAGTCGCAGCCGAAGGTGTACCAGCGCGAGTGGCAGGAACTGCAGGAGAGACGGGGCCGGTAGGAATGGCGATAGCCGGCTTCTCGGAGGTTTTGCTTGTTGAGATGGCACGGGGATGACGGAGAGCAGCGTAGCCGACAAACGGGGCGGGTGTGAAGAAGGACGAGCCAGCAGACACGCCCTTGGCGAAGAGCCGGAGCTTGGAGCGGTCTGGGAGACGATGGGCCATGGTTGCTGATGCTGTGAGTTTGCGACAGAAGAAGGAACGACTGTGATTCAGATGACGTCTCACTCTTTCAAGATCTCAGGGGACATCGCGAGGAAGGGGGGACGAGGCAGAAGAAGCTTTATACAGATGAGCCACGGCCGAAGCATTGGGCAGCTCCATCACACAGAAAATCCGTATACACTTGGATAAGAATCGCGACGCGATGGAGCTATGACGAACACAGGGCACACCCGAGGATCGCCGTGGCGGAGGGTGTGTGGAAACGAAAAGAGGCCGGAGTGGGACTTGATTCATGAAAGACTGGATCTCATGTGGGAACCCGAAAGGACGAGATGAACGGTCAGAGAGTGCTGTGTATTCCTTTGATTCGAAGGGCCTTGTTCCGGCGTTCCATAGCTTCCCTTGTCCCTATCTCATGCGCTATTCCGGGAAACATGCTCCATGACTTGAGAGGGGTTCATCGGTGTTGGCGGCGGTCGAAGAACATGCTGATGTGTACCAGGCCAACCGAGCTCTGACTGGCTCGAGGGTCTTGTCTGGGTTGCAACGGGAAGAATGATCCAGGCCTCCATGTCTTGGACCCTACCACCGCCTGGTTAAGCATAGATCTCCTTCTGATAATCAACGGCCAACGATCTTGGGTGTGTCTCGGGACTGGTGACTGGTGGTGGTGCATGTGGTTCTTCCAGAAGTTTGGGTTCGCCTGAAACATGTGAAAGTCGATTGGTTGAGGCTTGTGATGGGGTCAGCATTTGGACTGTTTGACACTTGACAGTTGGCTTGTGGTTGGAGCCCGGGATGTTCGGGAGTATGGAAGGAGTGGAACGGGTGGAGGAGGGAAAGGGGATGACCCATGTGAATGTCCCGGGACGAGGACAAGCTCGCATGGCGATCATCGTCATTTTGGCCTTGTATTCAGCCGCAGAGCTTGGCATGACTTTTGTGATGTCGTGAAAGGGCTGAAGCGCATGATGGTGAACGTCCAGGTGTTTTCATCGTGAAAAGAGGCCGAGATGGTTGAAGATGTTTGTGCATATGGACATGTGTTCTGAGCATTTGAGTTTCCATGTGTTGAACTCTGACAAATTGCAGGGTAGTCAGTCCTCTGTTGGCAGTTGCCTACCCTGACATTTTGGGATGAAAGTCGGGAGGTCTCGGAGGAACGGAAGAGACGTGGCTGGCTCCCCCTGAGTCAAGTTGTCAACAGCGAGCTCGCGTCCTCATGGCAGCGAGAACAACGCGCGGTCGCCATTTCCCCCCTTTGTTCCGGCCAGCAATCTTTTGGAGATCCATCTGCCACAGTTGTCAAGGTGGAATGCGACCAGAATGGAACAGAGGGTGGAATGAAGGCAGAAAAGAGAGATGAGTTGGACGAAGTTGGTCAAGTGAACCTCCAACACTCTGATTGAGAAAAGGAATATTCAAGACAATTGGAAAGGCACCGCAGCCTGTCCATGGGTGCATCAACTTGGAAAGAACAGATGTTGCCGGAAAATTGTGTCATCAGTCTTGGCAGCTCCTTCTCCATGGAAAACAAACATGGAATTGTTGTTGCCAAAAGTTCGTGATGCGTTCGTCATCCATTGTTGTTCGCACTTTCTCTTGCGACCGCCCCACCAGCCGAACCCCTCCGAAAAGCCCCACTATTTGCCGGTCGTCCCTGGCATTGACGATAACTTTAATTGTTGCTCACTTATCCATTGGTCAAGGCCACTCGCTTTGTATCCACTTGGTCTGTGCTGACCAAACCGCCGCACCATTTCGAGCAACCCGAACTCCATCCGTCATTTTCTCCATCGTCAAATGTTTCGAAACTCCAACACAACCCGTGACATCCACCGGCGTGGCACTTCTCGTGACCGAGATCTTTTTGACCTCTGACAGCTTCTACGAACCTTCCATGACTCCCAAGCCACGATTGAGCATCTGTACGGATCTCGTAGGGCTGAGAAAAGTGGCCTGATCAGATCTTGCTTCGTCGTCGTCGGTGACTGAGCGTTTGTCACATGGACTTTCTTTGCGTGATGAGCAATCTGCACTGTTGTCAACGATGAGCCCCTCGACCTCCAAGTCAAGTACCTTTGTACCTCACCACGGTCAGTTTCGGGCTCGGCTCTCGAGAGACGAGATGATCGCAACTGGCAGGCAGAAGCTCACTGTGGTTCATCACGTGCCACCCCTCATCTTCCTTTTCATCTCATCCCAAGGTCGACCTTCGGGACCGAGAGCTGGCCGCCAAGGTGTTCACAGTGATAAGGAAGCTATTGGCAACACTTTTGAGGCATCTTAACTCGCTCAGACGGGTCACGGTAGGTCACGGTAGGTCACGGTAGGTCACGGTAGGTCACTTGGTGGATTAACTTGCTCATTTCGAAGCCGCAGTCTAGGCTGCTGGCTCACACTTGGGAAGGAAGGCTGACTCACGATGTCGGAGGGAGGTGATTGCGCAAACCTTCACGATGGCTGCGCGGGAGTATAAAAGGTGGGGTTCTGACAGCCTGGGGACTTCTCCCTGTTCACGATATTTCGCCTTGTTTACATCACGATCTTCGTCCAACAACAAGCTTCGCACCTTCAGCCGGTCAGCTCGCTATAGCAGAACCGCTATATCACCAGACCATCCACCAGGATTTCATGGCCAGAGTTAGGCCTCAAGTCAAACTACACGTCCAACACCCCATCCGCTTTATGCAAAGCGCCCTCACTCAAGATGTTTTTCATCGCAGCTATCCGCAACTGGAGGGTTGACCCTCGCCGCGTCAAGGACGAAGCCATCCGCATGTTACGGATCTTGACGGGGTCGATATAGCAGACAGTCCGTCTCCGACTCCAACTCCATCAGCTGCCGCCGGGCCTTTCCACTTCCACCCCAGTAGCGCAGTCCGTTTTGTCTAGTGGCAAAGCGATCATCAACACCCTCTTCTCTTCTCCAGGAACATCAAGTCAACCATCTCACAGAAAATAAAATAAATAAAAAAATAAAAAAATAAGGAAAAAATAAGGAAAAAAAAAAAAGTCGGAAAAGAGTCATCCACCAACTGGTTCACACCATATCATCTCCTTGGACTTTCAAACAACCAACTTCCCCATCAGACTCTGCATCAGACAACGTCACTCTCGTAACCCAATCACCGTCAAGCATCATCAAACACGTCAACAAGTCAACGTGCGTACTCGCGGCCTAACAACACTGATGACACCGACAAGGAGCCATTGATAATTCAACATGGGTGACTAAGGATGCGTGGTGGCAGATGCATGGTCATGAAAGTTACGGGATGCGTGGGGATGGTTACCTAGTGATACGGGACAAGCTTGCGAGGGCTGGGGAGAATACGACGATGACTGAGGGAGGAAGGGAGGTTACAACATCTGGATCTGGGTGGTCTCGGTTTGCGCTTGATGGCCGGAGGAGCGGGATGGGCGACAACTGTTGATGGAGCTGGAACCTTTTAAGTTTGCTGGCTAGGAAGGACATTGGGGTTTGTGTCTTGATGGTATCGGGATGGAATATTTTGAACCGAGCCGGTAGTGAATGGAGAAAGGAGACAATCACATTGAGTCGCATAGAAACACAACAAACGACATCAATGATTTCGAAAGACAGAGCTTTTAGAGAAGTCATATGAGTCACCAAGAAAAGAGACAATCCAACCCTTTAAACCATAAGCTTGTGATGTACTGTCGCCAATGTTTGAAGCCAGCCGCGTCCGCTCCTGGCGTCAAGTGCTACACTCCCTCACCCCCTTCATGCATGCATGCTGAAGATAGTGTCCTGGTTCGATCGCAAACTGTGCAGGCGGGAATCTGGCGGCCTAAATGCCGAAAATATGACCATATGATAAAAGGAATGTGATAATCATTGCCCGTGTCCGAGACTGGCATAAAGGTGTTGGGCGGGATATCATTGCACAGGATGTTGTAAGCGCCGACCTTGCAGCTATTTTGGGCCACCGACGATCTCGGGAAGCGTTGCAACTTTGCGGTTCTTGGTGGGCGGTTGCACGGTTATGGAATGCCGGCTTGTGCGACCAGGATACAAGGTAGTGTACACAAACTGAGGGAAAATCTTTTGCAAAAAAGTTCACAGGGGTAATAATGGAAATCGAAAACTTTGACGGCAGTTCTTCATGTCAGTCCTGCGCGTCGGACGGGTCCATCTTGAAATCCAGGGTTGCGAAATGGCGGCAGCAATTCGATGATGGAATTGCCAAGAATTGACTGACGGCTGCAACTCCACACCAGCCAGCTCTGCCAGCCCGCCAAGAAAGCCCCCAGCCGTGGCTTGCCCCTCTTAGATGTGGCGCGATGGTGGCTGTTCCACTGTACTCGCCGAGTAAGCGCTCGGACCTTTTGGTGCCGACGGGCGACGGCCGCCGTGACTCTGCCAAACCTCTGGCTTGTTTCATATTCAGGCGGCTGATTGAAATCCATCCGATGTTCCAATTCATTCTCCTTGCTCGACTCAGGACCTCACCGATTCGGTTGCTTCGCTTATTGTGTTATGGCAGCAACTCCAATCAGTGCTGAACTCAATATCATCGCTTTTCAATTTATCATGGGAATGTCAACAAGAGCGATCATTTGACTGACTGCACATCAATCGCAAAACCGCGACGCAAGCGCGTCCACCATCAACGACAGGTCGACAGGTCCACGGCCTTTTCCAATTCCAAAAGCACCAACAACGGAAAGCCAATCACCAGTCACCCGTCCCAGGGTCCCTGTCTCTGTCCTCCCACGGATAGTAATTGGGCGTCATGTCATTCATGATTGCGCCTCAAACTCAAAAGATCCCGGGGCCAATAGAGCCAGAAAGGGGTCTTGGCTGTTACATTCCCAAACTCCGATTTGGCCATGCGGACGGGCTGACGGGGCGCTTGCAACCCTACACATCATGACCTTTTTTTTTTGCTCTCCCTCTTTCGGACATGCACAGGGTTCATTAAACAAAGACCGTGCTCATGCCGTCCCCTGGTCCCTGGTCGGGAATACAGCCGAGAGTTACGGTCCGCGGAGTATTATCCTTTTTCCTTCTTTGTTGATGTTGTTCGAAAATCGGAATGGGTCGAGAACAATGAGCTTGTTGTGAGGTTTGAACCTTGGGTAGGATAACCTTTTGAGTTCTGTCTCTCTCTGTTTCCTTTTGTTGACGCATAAAGTCTTTGTGCGACTGTCATTTGACTCCCGTGTGGTCTCGGAAGTCGGCCTTTCTGGGTCTGGAACTGGAAGAGAAACATCATTGATTGGTCCAGAACTACTTATACCTTCCGCGCTTCCAGTTCGGGATATCCCACCTCATTGGAGCTTAACCTTTCATCCCCATGTCATACTTGGACCCCAGAGTACACCAGGGGCTCTCCACCTGTCCATGCCACGCGATGCTCCTCCAGACAAAAAGTCACCATGGTAGTTCCTGGGGCTATTTTTCTCGGCTGCTACCTGAACCTTCTCTTGGTTCCCTCAAGACTACGCCGTGACCCGTCAAAAACCCCCCTTCTTGTTCCATCTCCGACCCCTATCACCATGGCTCCGACAAGTGGTCAGGCCATAACGATGACTCCGTATTGAACAATTTTGGACATCTCCGGCTTGATACTACCTACCATGTCACCTCGTCTCTACTAGTTGGCTGTTGTTGTTGCTGTTTCTTTCCCTTCGGTCTAACCACGGTGTTCTACTATCTACTCTCTTTCTTGCCGGCTTTGACTGGACGCTCTCTTGAATAAACATACCCATTTCTAATTATACGGTACCTCCCTACCGACTGCGCACGTGCACCCTTGATCGAGAAGGAAGACGTTCTCTCACCAAAACGGGGCCGGTCCCTCCATTACATACACAGTCTTTACGAACTCTAGCCTGGTGCTCGTTGATCGACAACCATCTCTCCATATCGGACCACGTAGGGCTGGCCTTTGGGATCTACGGGTGCCCAACCCATCATCGAGTGAAGGTTCAACCTACCTATCCTATAAACAAGTCTATCCGGGACGAAGACGACGATCACCAACATCATTGACGACCTCAAAACCGAGCGCGCAAGGCTGCTTCTTTTCGACGACATTCCGCTGGGCGGAACTAATACTTCTCACTACCTAATACAACGCACACAACCATCACCATGCACTGGCAACCAACAACCCTCCTCGCCGCAGCCCTCCTAGCGGCATCCGGCGTCCAAGCCGGCATCGGCTCCCTCATAGCCGAAGGCATATCACGCGGCTCGCCCTCCTACCACAAGCGCATGGAAGAGATCATGGGTTCCTATCTCCTCCGGCGTGGTTTCCTCGAAGAACGACAAGACGCCTCCGCCTCCTCCGTGGGCCAAGACCCCATCTTCACCGCCGACGGCACCCTCAACATGACGGCGTGGAACGCGCAGGTCAACGCCGCCTGCATTTCCAGTCTTCGACAACTGACCGTCGCGAGTAACCCGAGCGGCACCTGCGTGTGCTATAACCTGCCGGCGCTGGATAATTCCACGGGAGTGTTCGAGGCGGATCTGCGATTATTCAGGATCAGCGATGCGAGGGATGCGTTTGCGGGGATTGCGCCGGAGCAGGTTAGTGTTGGTGTCAGGTTCGTGGGGGCGAATGTGAAGACTACGGATGGGAGCGAGCCTGTTGTTGCTGCTGCGGTTGGGAGTGGAAGTGGAGGTAGTTCGTCGGCGAAGGCGTCACAGAACGCATCTTCCAGCCAAGCTGAGACTGCTTCTTCGCCTTCTTCCGTATCTGCCGCGAGTGTGCCAGTGGGAAGAGTAGGAGGAAGCGGCGACGGAGAGGCGGCCAACGCGCTGGCTGCTAGACAAGATGCGGGGGATTTGCTGCCGACGAATGGTGATCCAACTCTGCTACAGCAGTATTTGTTTGTGGGGCAGATTGATAAGGAGAAGATGAGTGGTGAGATGACTATGTATGTTTTTTTTTCCTTCTTTCCCCCCTCCCCTATCCTTCCCATTCCTTTGAAAACTAACAGACAAAAAGGGCCCAACTCCAATCCCTCCTCCTCCCCGTCGTCACCCTCTCCGCCACCACCCCTTCCGGAGGACAAGTCTCAACCAACATCTCCTCCAACGAAGCGGCCTTTGTCGCCGGCGTCTTTTCCACGGAAGTCGTCTTGTCCGATTTTAACAGGGCCCAGCTGGCTGTCGAAGACGAAATTGCTCGTCTAAAGGATGGGACTACGGCGTTTGTCCTACCGGGGGTGCAGATCCTGATTTTCCCCATAGGGCTCATCATTACTAGTGTTTGGCTGGCGGTCTTCATTGCTGCATATGGGTATGGGACTTTTTGTAGGTATCAGTTTGCTGTGCAGTATCGGGAGAGGAGGGCGGTTGTGGAGAGGGGGGGGTTGGCGAGGATTTGAGTTTTTGGCAGGACGAGAGGGTGAAAGGTGCTCGAAGAAGCAAGATAGGTCACGGAGAAGAAGAAAATGCGTTGATGAGGACGATGACAAAGGTCGGCGACGTTGTAGGATGGCGATGTTGCATGATGGTGTTTTATTCTTGGATATTCCAAAGTTTGGAGGTTCGGAGCGGTCATGATATTTTTGGCTTGGGTTTTTCGCTACCACGGTACCACCACACACAGCAGCATTTGTATATGCATCGCATCTCTTTTCTTTTCAGATTTACAAAACAGCGATTGAGATCTAGGCGTTTACATGGCTCGTTCTACCTCCGATCATTATCATCATTGACTGCATATTAGTCTAGCACTGCTCAATCTTCCTTCATTACTGCTGTCTTTCGACGATGGCATTAGACTCGGAGACGGACTTCAAAGCCGGTCGGTCGGTCGCCAACCGAAGCGGATTTGCTCAGCCGCATTCTGCTGCGGTGACTGCCCGGTATCCCAACAATGAGCTCAAGATCCCAAGGTTTCTGACGAGATGTAAACAACTCTCTGTGCCATATTGAAACATGAAGCATAAAACGCCCGGCATTTTCAAAATGTTGCATCCGAGGTGTGAAGGGGAACTTCTTGGAGTTTCAGAATTTCCGGGTCGGGTGCCACCCGACTTCGCTTTGACGCTGGCCGCTACGGCGCTGTGACGCTACAGTGGTTTTGACTCGCTTGGACCCAGGTCTTAGTATGTGGGTTGCGCTTAAAGCTGCACTAACATGCTGCTGAGGAAGCCCACTAATAAACTGCTAGTCACAGTTAAAGCACACCAATATCACTAACAGCACTTCCCCGCTTAGACATTGACCAAGCTGACCACGCTGAAACATTTCGTTAACTGAACATGCCACTCGACACAAACGACGGGGGACTGGAGAGGACGACGTTGACATTGTCACATTGCGGCGCATCACCGAATGAACGAACGAACGAACGAACGAAACGAAAACATCTTGAGTGCCTAGTCGTTCCCGCGTGCGATATCGGCCGCCGAAAATATGCCGTCCCTTGCCGTGCCGAAAGTCAGAGACAGACAGCTCAAAGCGAGCAGCAGAAAGAGGACCGAGTCCAACGCCACCGATCCGGTTGTTGTACGGTCGATGCGGTCAATGCGCCTATGCGAATGAACGCCTCCCGAGGACCGAGTCCTTTGTCTAGAGTCCGACCGCCGTTGAGTACCATGATTCAGTTACACACACTCGACACATCAGAAGGCGTACCAGATGGCGATATCACGAGACCTTTTGACCTTCCTAATGGTCCCCCGCAAATGGCATAGCGAGTTGTTACATCACCACGAGTCGAAGATTGGCCCAGTGACCCAGAGCCCGGATGGAGGTCTAAGTCGTGGATGGATGGGATATCCCGTCCAGCTCCATCCTCCTCTATCCAAACGGATGCGTGTCGATATATAAGTGTATACGCGGGAGAAGGCGAACATCAAAAGCGAAGAATACGTACATCCGGGAACCATGGAGAGGAGGTCGATATGGCAGTGCGGGCGAGGACAGGGTACCGCTGTTCCCTCTTGAGGCGAGCGCTCGATTCTTATTCCATCCATCCTAGCGGTTGCTGGTATGCAAGTGTACACTTTCAACCGGCGTAGGAGGCAAGAGGAGTACATACCGAGCGCAAAGAGCAAAAGACAAGGCGGGGGTACCGCTGTCTCGAATGAACGCTCGACTCGAGTCCCTCCATATCGCCGTCCTGCTTGAGAGCCCGCCCCGATGTTATCGCCGGTGGCCGGTGCCAACCGTAATGGTCCGTTCCGTTTTGCCCTTGTGTTTCGTTTTGTCTGTCTGTCTGTCCATGTTTCCGAAGCTCTCCTTTTTTGTATGTTTCCTACAGCTTACACAAGCAATAACAATCGATCGAACTGGTTCCTAGAACCGTCTATGAACGTTGACTACCTCTACCATAACTGCCCATACCTAGAGGCATGCGTGACGAGCCTTGAAGATATCATATCCAACAGAAACAACATCCAATTTACGCACGAAAAGACAGCCATCACCTCCCGAAAATCCATACAGAAACGAACACCACAGAAAACCCGTACAAAGTGCAGCGAACAACAACAATAAGCGGGCGTCCAGCCCCCTACAACCCATCATCCATCATGCCACCTACCTCTCCGTCAGCGTCAACCATACCACAACAACATCAACGCTCCCACGCCTCCAGCAGCAGCAGCAGCCCATCCGCCACCGACGACCTCCCCAGCCTTCTCCTCCAAATGCAAGAAACCATTTCTCAGATCCACCAAACCGTCACCGCCTTGCAATCCTCTTCCTCCCCACATGGCGGCGACAGCGAGGAGCACGCCAAGCTCACAGAGATCGAATCCCGTCGAGACTCGGCCATCCGGTCTTTACTCACTGCCTTCTCTGCCGAGTCCGAATATCTCTCGCAAAAGCGGCGGGTGGAAAGGGAAGAGATTTTTGGAGAGGAGAAGAGCTGAGGATGAAGAGTTGGCGAGAAAGAGGAGGGAGGAAGATGCGCAATGGGAGGAGAAGCTGAGAAAGGAGGATGAGGAGAGGGAGCAGAGGCTGGAAAAGGAAAAGGGCGAGGTGGAGAGGGAGACGGAGGAATTGATGGGGGAGATTGAGAGGGGGTGGGAGAGACGGTGGGAGGAAGGACGGGGGGTGTTGAGGGGGTTGGAGGGGAGGAGGAAGGTTAGTTCCTCTTTTTCGTTTCGTTTTTGTTTTGGCTTCGATGGTGGTGGTGGCGAGGACAGCTGTGGAAGAGGAGAATACAAAGGCAGAAAGCATGGCTAACGACGTGACAAACAGGAACTCAACCGGCTTATCGAAGAAAAGCTGCAAGCGCATACCGAGACCCCCTTGGTGTTGAACACAAGGGGTATCCGAGAGGCAAGGACGAGTAGCGTTCCTAAGATTGAGCCGGAGGAGCAGACTTCCCAAGCCCAAGAGATGGCCAAGACGACCGAGACGCAGAGCAATGAAAGGGGCTTCCTCCCTGCGGCTGCCTTCGAGAGCGCTCCCCCCGACCTCGACCAGGACTACAACAAGTCTGAAAGCGAAATCCATGTCCAGCAAGAGGAGGAAACAGTTGCTCGCGGCGGCAACGAGGAGGATGTGGACGCAGCAGCACCTCCGCCATCCTACCTACAAGAAAAGATGGCATCATTGAGCATGGACCACCTCAACGAACCCAACTCTCTTACCAGCCACAGTCCCAGTCCTATCCCCGTTTCCGTCCCCGTCAGCTCAAGACCTACTTCTCCAGTCGGACGTACATTGTCAGCCATCGACATGGAAGACACTATAACAGCAGATGATGTAGATGATATCGAAGACGTCCCATTCGAAATCGACGAACCCGTCCCGTCGGCAGAACTTCCTAATGGTCATGTCCATAGCCACGGACATGAACAGCGGCATCTCGAAATCAAGACGGAAAGGGAAACCGCAGACAGGGACTGGGACAGGGACACGGACAGGGACACGGATACAAGCACCAAAACAAGCCCAGTGGACGTCGAGTTCCAGGGTTTGCCGATCCGCGCACATCCCATGGATGAGAATATCCACTTGGACGAGTTCGCTGAGGTTGAAGAAGAAGAAGAGGATGATGGGGACGGGGAGAAGGGTGAGGGTGAGGGTGAGGGTGAACATTTTGGTTTGCCGTCGGTTGAGCATGAGCATGAGCATGAGCATGAGCATGAGCATGGTGGATCTACTGAGACTGAGACTGAGACTGAGGCACAAACTGAGACTGAGACTGAGGCACAAACTGAGACTGAGACTGAGGCACAAACTGAGACTGAGACTGAGGCACAAACTGAGACTGAGACTGAGACTGTTGTCGAGCAGCGAGCTGTTGATGTCAAGGAAGAGTTCCGCGGGAGGGCAGATAGTTTGGGGATTATCCACCCCCCTCCAGCTCCTACTGCGGTCTCCCACAAACATGATGTTGGTCGTGGTGTAGCTGAGGTAGCTGGAGAGCCAAACCATACCTCCAGCCCGGAGTCCGAAACCTCAGACTACACGCCTTACTCACAGCCCACACCGGCTTCGCCTACTATTGCTTCCCAGGACTATCAGACTGGGGCTGCTCAGGGATACTTCCGCCAGTCCGAAGCTGCCGCTGCTGCTAGAGAAGGACACCCCGAAGCAGATACCGGCACCGTCGAACAACCCAACCCCAACCAAGAACAACAGCTCGCCAACACCAACACTACCCCCGACTCAAAGTCAGAGCCACAGTCAGAGCCGGCACACCCTGGCCCCGACCAAGAAGACGTCGACACCGTCCCCTCCGACGACAACGCAGACGGCCACTCCATCTCCACCGCCTCCGAGCGTGGTTCCTACTCGGACATCAACGAGCCTGTATCTCCCACCTCCCCGACTGCGGCAAAAGCGGAGGAGGAGGACGCTCGGGATGCGGACTTTGTTCCTGGCCAGGATGTGGAGACTCAGGCTAGGGAGGTACGGGTTTTGGAGGGTGTGGGGAAGGGCGAAGAGGAGGCTGAAGAGGGGAAAGGAGAGATGCCGAGTGAGGAAGTGCTACGAGGCCTGACTGGCGCTGATCATGAGCATTTTGATCCTGTTGAGAGCGTGGGGCGTACGATTGACGAGGTTGAGGATGAGTGGGAGGAACAGCAACATCACGAGAAGAACCATGACCATGAGCATGAGCAGCAGCAACAGCAGCAGCAGCACGAGCGCAAACAAGAGGAAGGCCGCCAGCATGAGGGCGAACACGAGCAAGAGCAAGAACAGGCCGTCCATGCAGAAGCGGTAGAGAAAGAAGTCCTAGAGAAGCAAGTTCTTCAAGGCTTCGTTGACGACCCCGTCGGTCCGGCGCACGATAGCCGGTTTGAGCTGGAAGCGGAGGCCATGAGGGCAAGGGGAGTGTTGGAGCCGCATGCTAGTCAGGTGGACTTGGGAGAGGGCAGCTGTGATGACGATGCTATTAAGTATGAAGAGGGGGAGAGTCCCGTGATGGGTGTTGAAGGCGTGGTAGAGCCTCCTGCGACGCCTTCAGCTGGTGCTGAGGCCGAGTCTGAGCATGAGCATGAGCATGAACCCGAGCCGGTCCCGGTCGAGGAGCTGGTCAAGGAACAGGAAGAGATGGGACTTGGCCGACCCGAACCACACGACTCTACTGAGGATGACCGAGACAACAACGAAGTACAGACCACACCAGTGCAAATCCTCGACATGGACCGCCACCCCCTCGACGATCACTCTCACGTCTCCCACGTCGTCGGCGTAGCCCTCACCCACAGCGACGCAGTGCACATGATACACACCCCTATCGAAGAAGGCGATCATGTGGAACCAGCCCATTACTTCGTCAACCAGCATCACGTTCCCCATAGCGCTGATGAGTTCTATACCCCAGCCGAGGTCACTCTCCGTGGTTATGATCATCAGGGGCGCCAAGGACATCCCGATGCTTTCTACAATCCTGCTGCTCATGCAGATGACCATACGGAGAAGGAGCACCGCGAGCTTGAGCGTGAACATGAGGTCCCCGACGTCAGCGACCAGGTGGAAGACCTAGATGACACCCAACCTCGCTACCAGCTTTACGAACGCCCCTACACCCCCAGCGACTTTGCTCCTACGCCCATGGAGGCTAGTTTCCATCATATCGAACACGTCAGTCCCAGTCCCGGGCATGACACACATCATGAAGTTCCATATGGACATGGACAGCCCGAGGTGGTGGTCGTTACTCCACAACATGAACCCGACGTGGATAATGAGGGTGAGAATTCTGCTCCTGCTGGATACTTGCGCGATCATGATGCACCAACCCATGCCGCCGCAACAGATATGGAAGAACCGCACAGAGAGGGAGATGAAGGAGAAGGAGAAGGGGAAAGAGAAGGAGGAGGTTTGGTGGAAGATAATGTTGATGAGAATGAGATAGGCCATCCGCTTGAGAGGGTGCCTAGCCATCAGGATGTCCATGTCGAACATGAACATGAAGAAAGTCCAGGACCGAGTGTCAGTGTGGATGACTTCCCCATGCCTGGTGGTGTTCCCGCCCCTGGACAGTCGCAGGTTCATGTTGCTCATAGTGAGCATGAGCATCCTCGTGGTCCTGAGCATTACCTTGATCAGTGTGAAGACGACATGGACGTCGCCGAGAACTTTCGGGTTCACGAAGGGCAGGAAGATGACGTCGAGAATTTTCGGGTTCACCAGGAACATGAAGACAAGTCCGAGTCCGAAGAGAGTTCAGAAGAAGACTTTGAGGGTAGACATGATGAAATTGTTCTTCACCACTTGGATGCCATTGCTGAGGAGGGCGATGAGGAAGTGGAAGATGAGGTCGGCCATGGTGTTGAGCGACGGGATATGGCTGAGATTGCCGTTGAGGGTCATGCGCACGATGAGGACCAGGACCAGGCCGTCTACAGGGAGGTGGAAGAAGGTTTGTCGGACCAAGACGACGACGTCCGCAGCATTCCGGCTGATGAGAGCAACGTAACGCTGCCGAACGACGTCGTCCGGTCTGATCCCGAGGTTAATGCTGAAGTTGAGGCTGAAGTTGAGGCTGAAGCTGAAGCCGAAGCCGAAGCCCGGGAGCTCGTCACCCATCCCCAACATGAAGACGCCGCCGCCGTCGAGTCAGCGCCGGCTGATATCCAGCATGAGACGTACGACACCACTATCTCTACAAGCCACAACCTCGCCCGTCAACAAACTTACGGCACTGAAGCAACGGAAGACTCTGATGCCGATAACTCAACCGAGCCCTCCGAGCCGGAACGGATCCATGAAGAAGGTCCCGATCCGAGACTTTTGGAGGAGCAACCTGTACTTGATGAAGCGCTTGAGCTCAAGCCTGGTTATCCTGTCGCTGAGGGGGAGCATGCCCCTCATGAAGGACAGGTTGACGAAGACCACGTCCACAGCCAGCCAGGTCCCGAAGACGACGAATATGATCCCTTCCGTTACTCGCCTCCCAAGAAATCTACCGCTGAAGGGCAAGTTACCCCCTGCACCTCCCCTCTTCTTTCCCACTCCCACTCCCAGTCAACAGTCATCTCTTCATCCGCCTCCGTTAAAGTTACCACCTCTGACTCTTCTGCTGCACATAGGGATGATGACGTTAACGAAGCCGCCACCAACGGCGAATCACAGGAACCGGAACACGAACAGACTGTCAAGCACGTGGAGGATGATGTACGCGTGGACGACACGGAGCAGCCCGACGTCGAACGACCATCTGACGAGGTTTTGAGCTCGAGGGTGGAGGACGTGATGCTGCACCATGGTGGACAAGCGGCGAGGAGCGAGAGGGGTTTGGCGGAGGAGTTGGACGATGTTGGTTCTGGCGAAGGGGAGGACGAGGAACACGCCCGTCATTATGACCACCATGGTCCTGAAGAAGAGGAGGTGGCGGTTCATGAGCAGCACAAGGAGCATGCTGGCCGCGGATATCGATCTAGTGATGAGGAAGATGAGGAGACGCTTGCTGATGATGAGGCTAATCGCACTTATCATGGCCATCGTGACCATCATCATCGTGACAACGGTCACTCACACCATACCTCTAACCAGCACGAGGAGGTCGAGGTCGAGGCCGACGCCCAACCGTCACAAGAGGGCCATCTCGAGCCTCCTGTCTTGCAACTCATTGAGCCTAGCGATACGTCGGAGACATCGTCCATCTCTGCCTCTTGTCATCCACACGCTGTGACAAGGGAGGAAGACATGGGCAGGGACTGGAGCGAGGTGGACCAGTTCTTGTCCGAGTCGGAGTCGGAGTTGGATTCTGAGGATGAGCCTGCCCGGGGACATGTTGAACATGTGGAGGAGGCTGGTAGTGATGCGGCTGCTGATACTGTTGCTCATGCACATCCCTCGCTTGATCTTGATATCGACGCTGAAGTCGAAGCTGCTCTGGAGACTCCGGCCCCTGAACAACATCCCACTCTCGATGTCGACATTAATGCGGAAGTCGAGGCTGCTTTGGAGACCCCGGCTACGGAGGCCAGTCCTGCTGAGGACACGGCCCAGCTGCATGAATACTACGCTGAACAGGCCGCGATGCATCACTCCCCTGAGCTTGCGCAAAGGCATGTGCAGGAGCCAGACGCCGAGGTTGCTTCCCACGACCAGGGTCACCATGATCAAGACAATGAGCCATCGACCTCCCCTAAGCAACAGTCTGAGCCGCAGTACGTCCTAGATGAAGAAGAGGTTACTGTGACTCCAGCTCACCACCACGACCTCCCCCCTCTCACAATCCCCGCCACTCCCCCTTCGCCAATCCGCAAAGTTGATGACCACGACAACAACCAGGACAACACCCACGACGCCCACGACGCCCACGACTTCCAATCCCCAGAAGAAGACCAAGAGTTCATCCCTCGCGACGTAACCAACCGCCCCTGGCGCTCCGACACCGTCAACACCACCGCCACCTACGCCACAGCCGATACCACTTCCAACACCGTTCCCACCGTCTCCTCGCCTCAATCCGCCCGTAGCGGGACTACCCTCTCCTCCGGGCCCTCCTCTCCCGTCCCTGACCACGAGGTTGACTCCGGTGCTCAAGACCCTCGCATCCGTGATAGCATCGGCGCTAACATCGGCGGCGGTCGCGCTCGCGGTCTGACGGATGTGAGTATGGGTGATTACAGCGGTGGCGGGTATGGAGCTTACAACTACGTGGATTCTCATTCACATGGTCATGATGTCAAGGACCGGGACAGGGACAGGGATCAGCCGGTGCCGAAGGGCACAAAGGTGATGGAGATGTGGCATCAACGGGAAGCAAATCTTTCTCAGTCGAGGACTGGGAATGACATAGAGGAGGTGAGGTTGTCGGGTGATAGTGAGCGGTCCCACTCACGCAACCGTGGGGCTTCTGGTTCCGGCTCCGGAAGTGGTTCTGGCGGTGGCAGTGGAGGAGGCAGCTCCCTCTTCCAACGCATGCGTTCAGTGTTTGAACAATCTTCTTCATCCTCGGCACCAGCAGCTGCAGCTGCAACATCAACCAACAGGGTGTCAATGCCCTCCTTCTTCACCAAGTCCCACACTCCCAGCCCTTCTCAGTCTCTGTTCGAGAACAGCAAGCAAAGACCGATGAGCACATCGCCTTATTCCCATGGCTCCCGTCACAGAGATGGACACGCCCACCACATGCACTCTGCGGAAGATACGACCACAGCAACGGCCACAGAGCAAGTACAAGCCGAAGAAGCAGGTGAACACGGCGCCTTGCTACAAGCCGACGACCGGGATGCTTCAAGCGATGATGGCTACGACGAGGAATATGAACGCCAGCGCGAAAGGGAGAGACAAAAGAGGAGGGAAAGGAGGAGACATGAGAGGGAGAAGGAGGAGTGGAGGGAACGGCATGGGATTCTGCATTCTTATGATTATGGTGAGCAGGGGTATGGGCACAGTACGAGTCGGTATGACTATGGAGAGTACAGGCCGGAGTAACCACGCTCGGGAGTGCCCGAGCTTGAGTCCGAGCTTGTGCTCGAGGCGGAGGAGAGGAAGAAGGGGGAGGAGGATGATGTGGAAGAGGAGGAGGGGAAGGGGTTGGTGAGGGTGGTGAATAGGGGCGGGAATGACATTGGGAAGGTGTCTGAGATTGTAGCCCGGCTAGAAGACCATAAAGAGGAAGTCCGATCAGGGCCAGTAGGGAGATGGTGGATTGACAAACGTCTACGATGGAACGGCGATCCTCTTACCCCTCCTCGGCAGCAGCAAAAGTTACAGTTACTTCCACCACCAGCTCCACTGCTAGCGCCAGCTCAAGCGCCGTCGATGTCACTATCACTGTCACCCATGGCAGTCGACGCTCTCGACGCAGTCGACCTCTGGCGCCAGGGTGTGCGCTGCTGCCCTCCGGTGACAATCTCATCCAGCACATACACAGGGTCAGTCATGAACAGACCTCGCGGCTGCTTCGATCTTTCAGACATGGACCTCACGACACCTACACCACCCCTCGAACTCAATCTCAGCACCACCGGCACTCCAGCCTCAGTGACCATCCCACAAGAATCCCACGGCCAAGAGTCTCAAACATCACATCCCTTGCCTATTGTCACAGTCAAACCCATCCCCACAGAAGCAATCAACGAATCCCGCCTCTCCTGGACCTTCACCCAAGGCTGGCTCTCTCGCCTC